TAGCCTCTCTGGATGGCATTGCAGAGGCCAGTGCTGTTTGTGTTTTGACATCAGTCCTTTCAAGAGCCCTTTGTTTAGAGAGACATTCTGTCGTGCCTTCCTGCCTTCCATTTGCCTGACACAAACCCTGCCGTGGGTAACTGTGGCCAGCAGGTACTCAATTCTTTGAGGCCATATGCTTTCCTACTGGGTATGTACCAACAGGGAGCCCAACACAGTTTGCCAGCTGAAGGCCCTGAGGGTCACATGACCGTTGTTTCTGTTACATTTTCACTCAGAGGCACTTCGTTTAGGGAGCTAAAAGACTATGTCATTTGGAGTAAAACATATGTATAATATTGCAAATTGCTCATTTGGGGATTTTCCTCATTAGCTGGGAGTAATTGGTGTCAAATTGTCAGTTTTCTACCCATCTTAAAAAGGCTTCATAGACAGATGCTTGAGAATTACCTGGATGGGTAGATTTGTAATTTCAAGATGAAAATATTATTTATAATTACATATTTCCTACATTAGAATGACATATCTAAGTTTGATAGACAGGAACCCATTATAATAATGCAGTTGTTTTTTTTTTTTTTTCAGGTTTAGTTGTTGCCTAATTTTTCCTCTAGCCATATAAATAATACATACTTTGCCTTTAAGAGCTCAGCTGACTCTGGGCAGTGGTGGTGCACGCCTTTAATCCCAGCACACAAAAGACAGAGGCAGGCAGATCTCTGTGAGTTTTAAGCCAGCCTGGTCTGTAGAGCGAGTTCCAGGACAGCCAGTGCTGCACAGAGAAACCCTGTCTCGAAAAACAAAGAGCTCAGCTGAATCATTGTGGTAACTTAAAACAAATGAAGAAAAAATATCGGGCTAGCAAGTGTGGGGCTTATGAAGGGCATATTGCTGATTGCTGTTAAGTACGTTATTGAAAAAAAGATGTTTATTTATTTCGTGTGTGTGTGTGTGTGTGTGTGTGTGTGTGTGTGTGCCACATGTATGGAGGAGCCCTTGGAGGCCAGAAGAGGGGGGTTAGAGTTCCATGAATTGGTGTTACGGATGGCTGTGAGCCCCATGTGGATGCTGGAATTGAACTCAGATCTTCTTCAAGCGCAGCCAATGCTCTTGATCTCCGAGCCATCTCTCCAGTCCCTTAAGTACATTATTTATGCTTAAGTCCAAATGTGTTACCCTGCAGCTAATCTAATACAGTGCAAAGGGACAACAGCTAAATGAGCAGAGAATGCTCCTGGGGGACACTCACTGAGCAGGGGCCAAGTGGCTGGAACAACTGTGATACCCAGTGACTAAAAGAAGCCGATGGCCGTTTCCTGCAGGACTGAATAAAAGTTTAAGGAAACGAAGATGCTGGCTTGGTTCTATTATTTCTTTCTCTGATTTTAAGTTGGAATTTTGATCTTTTTAGAAGTAAATATGAAAATTTTTACTCTTTTATCATTTGATGCAAAATAAAGACCCAGATGCTAGGGCTGGAGATGGCTCAGTGTCAAGAGCCCTGGCTGCTTTTGTAGAGGACCCAGGTTTGGTTCCTAGCACCCACTCTGTGACTCAAAACCACCTGTAACCAGTTCCAGGGGATCCAGTACCCTGTTCGGAAGTCACAGATCCTATGCATGTACATAGTACAAGTACATACATGGAGGCAAGCATTCATACATGTAAATAAAAATTAAAAAAAAATTAAGGGGCAAAGAGAAAAGACCCAGGCTCAGCCCAGTGTAGTGGTGTACATTTTTAATCCTAGCATGTAGAAGACAAGGCAAGAAAATTGAAGTTCAGGGCCAGCCTGGGCTATATAGCAAGAACTTGAATCAAGTAATAATCAAAAAGCGAAGCCGAGACCTTGTGAATTTGGTGCTCACAAGCTCTTGGTTTGTGGGGCATAGTGAGCTTGTGGCCAGGGGGTACTTCAGTAGAGATGACGTTAAATAGAAAACCCTGCTCCTGCTGTTTGCTCTGCAAAATGTGAGTTCACAGCATCCCAATGTGGAATTCTCCACTAAAGAAATGTATGTGGTGGGCCTGGGGAGTGGTTAAGACTGTTGTTGGCTCTCGAAGAGGACCCGAGTTTGGTTCCCACCACCATGTGCCAGCTGCCCAAGCGTGAGAGCCTGCATTTGGTCCCCAGCATTCCTATCAAGAGCTAGGCACTGGCAGTGTGCACTTGTAAGCCCAGCCCTCGGGAGGTGGATCCAGGTGAATCTCTAGGGATTGCTGACCAGCCAGCCTAGCTGAATCTGAGATAGGGTGAGGATCTGGAGAGAAGGCCTAATGGTTAAGAACACTTGTTGCTCTTGCAGAGAACCTGGGTTCAGTTCCCATCACCCACATGGTGGTTCACAACCATATGTAATCCCAGTTCTAAGGGATCTGATGTTCTCTTCTGACCTCCAAGGGCACCAGGCATATGGTGTACACACACACACACACACACACACACACACACACACACACACACCCCTCTACCTACCTTCTGGCCTCCACATGTACACACACACAAATGCTCACATACTCTCATGCATGCATGTATGCACACAGGAGATCCATCTAAGATCAGGAAAGAGGAAGCCACCCCCAGGCTTACTGTACTTTGATGAAAGGGGTCTGCCAAGCACTTTGAGTCACTGTTATTTGATGTCCAGAGGTTTCTGTTCTCTATATGGAGTACTCCAAGGAGCTACTGTGTTTATAAGAGCGGGGCTTCTCTTCTGTGGGGGCAACAGGACTGTTAGGGGTGTGTGAGGGGGAAGCCTCTGTTTCTAGGAAATGTTTGTCCGCCCCCAGAGGAGTCCAAGCGACCAGTTGAGGAAAGGCAGCTTGGATCTGTCATTCCCCGTGCGGTGTTCTTGAGTCCGGGGAGCATGGAACAGAGGCCTGTTCTAGTAAAGGAAGTTCATTTAATTAGAGAATGTGGCTGCCAGCTGCTCCGCCTTTTGTTTCCAAGCAACTCTTTGTAAACTATCTTTACAGTACCGTTTGTCTCCCTCTGCTGGCGTAAGTCATTATTGCAGACTGCCTTCCCCCTTCCCCATCTGGATGTAAGAGACTTCAATTCACAAACCTAAGCCAACAGTGCCACTTGTGAGGCATAAGGTATTTCATTGTGACACAGCAGCTATGTGAGAGTACTTCTAGATGTGAGTGTCCCCTTAGGCCCCTGAGGTAGAGTCAAGCGGCATTCCCAATGAGCAGACAGACCCTCAGGACAGCCTCTCTTTCTGTGTGTAAGGGATTTGCTTGCATGTATGTATGTATGTATGTATGTATGTATGTATGTATGCATGTATGTATACCACATGTGTTCCTGGTGCCCACAGAAGTTAGAAGAGGGCATTGGATCCCTGGAGTTACAGACAGTTGTAACAGTTACAGACAGTGGGTGCTGGGAACCGAACCCAGGTCCTCTGGAAGAGCAGCAAATGTTCTTCAGCACTGAGCCATGTCTCCAGCCCCTTAGGGCTGATTTTTATATGTCCTCTCATTTTCCATGCCCTGCAGGCTGGATTTAAGGAAACTGTTAGTACAGTCTGTAATATTGTGAAGATGATGTCACCAGACATGGTACTCTGCATCTCCATGTCATGAATGTCCTTCGGCCCTCACCATAGGCTCAGAAGCCAGAGCCTAGAGAAGGTGCAGCTCCCAGGGTCTGATTCTGGGGATGGTGTCCCCAGAGAGAACACTGTGTCTGCCAACGAGTACAGGCTGTTTCTGAAGACTTCTCTGCTGAGGACCATTTCTTTCTAGAAAATTTTATTCCTTTAGTTTCCAGTACTGGGAACGTCCAGACCGGTGGGTTTTATTTGAAGTCCCCTATTTCTTCTGTGCTTCATTTCCTTCTTTCCAGTGCCAACCTGGTAGATAGTCTCTTTTTTGTTGGTTTGGTTTGGTTTTGGTTTTTTGAGACAGGGTTTCTCTGTGGTTTTGAAGGCTGTCCTGGAACTAGCTCTTGTAGATCAGGCTGGCCTGGAACTCACAGAGATCCGCTTGCCTCCGCCTCCCGAGTGCTGGGATTAAAGGCATGCACCACCACCGCCCGGCTTAGATGTTCTCTCAACAGAGACTCTACATTCATGTCTGCATGTCACCGGACAGATGGCTGGCCGCAGCATACCTCTCAGACTGAACATCTCCTAAGCTATTGTCCTCTGTCTCCGCCCCCTGGGCCACTTTTTCTTGAGGATTCTTCTGTCTTTCAAACTAATCATGTTGAAAGCGAAGCCTGTGTTTTATCTCCTGGAAAACTTTGGTCCTTCGGGACACACCCTAATGTCACCTCCATGTTGGGGATGGCCTTCCTCGGGCTTCAGGCCATTGACTGTTCTCCTATGGTCTCTCTGTCTGCCTGGCTTCTCCCTCCACTGATTTCCAGAGCTGTCCTTTCTTCCTATTTTCCTTGCTGGGATCTGGGCAGGCTGTCCTGATTTCATGCTCATGGTGTCACAGGGGCCTTGTGCTTGGTCTACTTAGAATTTATAAATCTGCCTCTTTAGAAATAGAGGCTGTTTGAATACCCGGATGACTACCTTAAAAGCTGCCATTTGGAACGATACACGTGGAACCTGGCCTCTCTCTCCACCTCCCTGCTGCATTCTGCCCCTTTAGTGCGTGAATGTAATCTCTTCTAGGCCTCAGGTAGTCTCTGTTGGTCTCACACTTTGATCTATAGCAAGCTCTTTGAAGCCTGCACAGTTCCCAAGGCCTGGATGGAGTGCCCTTTTCCCTGTAAAGAATGTCCCCCTTCACAGCTCTCTGACAATGGGCAGGTGGTCTATTGGAATGGCTTTTGTATTAATGTCTTGCTATTTAATCCTTGTATTCTTGTTTAATCTTTCATAAGCATCTGTGATGAATTCTAAGTATAAACAGAACCTGGTACCTGATCCGTTACAGAGATGTTTGTTGAGTTGGGTTGGTGGCTTTGCTGGAAGTCTTGGCTCAGGGGTTACCCTCCTCTGGCCTCACGTTAACCACCTTGTTCCTGTGTGTTTTAGCTGCAGATCCCCAGTGTTAAGGGCTTCGATTTTGCTAAGCAGCATCTGGGTCAGCACAATAAAGATGACATACTGATTATCCACGAGCCAGCGCCACTGCCGGGACCTGTGAAGGACCACACCACACCCTCTGAAAATGGAGATGTGCCGAGCCCAAAGTCCAAGGTCCCTTCTAAGAACATCCGCCACAGAGGAAGGTCAGTGTTGGGCTTTCTAGATTGTTCTCTGGTGCAGAGCGTGTTTCAGTTATCAGGTCTACCTCTGGTATCAGAAGTGCCGGTGATGGGTATTGCCCCGAGCCTGCAGATTTGACTGGTGATCAGCCAGCTATAAGTGTGCAGGTTCTGGGGCGAATGTCTTAGGCTTTGTGAAGGTAATACAGGAAAGAAGGTAGGAAATGTGAGGATCAGGGGCCAGCGAGATGGCTTGCTGCCAGGTTTGATCACCCACCTGTATTTAATCCCGGAATGCACATGGTGGAAGGAGAGAACAGACTTCTACAAGTTGTCCTCTGACCTCCACACACGTGCTGTGGCTACATGGCCCCGACTCCCCAGATAGGTGTTCCTCAAAACATAAAATAAAAAAGTTAAAGTACATAGTTCCCTGCACACACACACTCAGTAGGCCTCCTGGGCTTGCCCTTGCTCTGCTGGTGGCTGGCTGTGACCTTAGCACCTCACAGCTTCACTCCCACCCCCCAGCCCATTCCCTGTCTACTGCCAAAGTCCTCGTGCCAAAGCAGGCCGGGCGCCTGCGAGAAGAGCTAGAATGACCCCGAGGAAGACAGCCGGGTCAGGGTTTGTCAGTTGACGTTAGTTCTTGACCTAGGCCCCTGAGGCTTCCCATTGTCAGCCTCTCCTTGAGATTCAGAATCCTGGCTTCTGATTGGCTGCCCGTAGTGTAAAAGCCTGTGTCCATATCAACACACAACATCCAAACCGATGGCATCTCTTCTACCTCGGGGATCTGGCCTAGTTGAAGAATTTAATGGATGTTGGAGCATGGTCCTTGGGAAGAAATGAACGATGTGGAGAGATGTTCTTTGCTTAATTATTCTCAGGCCTAGGGTGCAGCAAATCAGCAGAGGCAATTTAAAGCTGTTAGTAACGGTTTTCCAAGAATTGCTTTCTCCCCAGTAGCCTCAGATAAACATCTGCTGGTCCCTTCATCACAGTGGTCTTTGGGGTAGATACAGTTATCCCCCTTTGCTTTTCAGTCCCACCTCCATGGTTCCAACCTACTGGGGGTCAGAAAGCTTGGGGAGGGTGTTGATGGTGAATGGACAGACTCGTTCTTGTCATTACTCTTTTTTTTTTTCTTGAGACAGGGTTTCTCTGTGGCTTTGGAGCCTATCCTGGAACTCGATCTTGTAGACCAGGCTGGCCTTGAACTCACAGAGATCCACCTGCCTCTGCCTCCTGAGTGCTGGGATTAAAGGCATGTACCACCAGCGCCCGGCTCTTGTCATTATTCTTAAAACAGTTTATGGCAGCTATTTGCAGTGTTGTGTGAGGTGCACAGGCAAACACTAAGTCATTTCATACAAAGGACTTGAGAGCATCTGTGGCCCACAGGTGCTGAGGGAGGGCTGTGGAGAGAGAGTCTCTGAAGGGCACCAGAATGTATTAGCAATTCATGTTGCCATCTAAGCTAGGGAGTCTGTGGAGGCCACAATTGCTCACTGGGTGAGGCTGTTCCCTATCCTGGTGTGCTCTCTAGCCTGGTGTGCTCCCTAGCCTGGTGTGTTCCCTATCCTGGTGTGCTCTCTAGCCTGGTATGCTCCCTATCCTGGTGTGCTCCCTAGCCTGGTGTGTTTCCTAGCCTGCTATATCCTGGTGCTGTGTTACCTTTAATGTTCATGCATGGAATCAGATCTCTTTGTTCCAAAGGTCTGGAGTTATCTGGGGTTGACCCCAGAACTTCCCTGGCCTCCTAGGGTTCTCGGGTTCTGTTGATGCTAAACCAGGCCAAAAGCCCAGGTTCTTCTTTTTTTAAGTCTGCCTCCCTGTCTCCCCGCTCCCTCCTTGTGTGTGTACATGTGCGCATGTGAAGGCCAAGGGACAGAAATTGGGACACGGTTCTCTTCTACCATGTAGGTCTCAGGAGATCAAAATCAGGCAATCAGGTTTTTTGGCAAACAGTTTTACCTGCTGAGCCATTTCATAGGCCTTTAAAAACAAAACAAAACAAAAACTGGAATCTGTGCTGTAGATCTTAAACTATTGGGTCAATGTTAAATTTGCTGTGTGCCCAGACAAGACTATATTTTATTTTATTTTTATTTCATGTACATTGGTGTTTTGCTTGCATGTTGTCTGTATGAGGGTGTTGGATCCTCCGGAACAGTAGTGAGCTGTCATGTGGATGCTGGGAATTGAACCCAGGTCCTCTGGAAGAACAGCCAGTGCTCTTAACTGCTGAGCTATCTCCCTGGCCCATTGGCCTTATTTTTAAGAGTAAGTTGTTCTTGTTTGCTTTCTCGGGGTGCTAAAGATTGAACCCAGGGCTTTGCAGGTGCTGAGTGGCGCTCAAACACTACCTACATCCTCTGTGGCAGTGCTGGAGCTCATGTTCTTTTCCATCTAACTGTGTTAGACCTAGACTGCCTGTCAGGAAATGGCCTAGGGCCAGGGGCCTCAGCCTTGGGCCCCAGCAGCTATGGGAACTTACTTTCTCCAGCACTTGGTTTTCTAGCATTTGTTGAAATGTACCTTGCTCAGCTGGTTAGTTAGCGATGCCAGTGTGTTCTCAGGACACAGTGATTGTGGCCATAGTGTGACCCTTGAATCGTGGACTGTTTTTCATGGAAGCCTGTTTCCAGTGAACGAGATGTTTTAAAGCCCTTCCTGGCCTCTCTTCTCTGATGTTTGCTTTCTGCTTTGTGTCTGCAGAGTTTCTCCCTCAGATGCAGACTCTACAGTCAGCGAGGAGTCCAGCGAGAGGGACGCGGGAGACAAGGCGCCAGCTACTGCCCATGAGAGCAAGGCCCACAGAGCTCCACAGAGTGGTCTGTCACTGTCCTTCTTTCCAGTGTTAACAGTTGTCATGGTCAGAGTCCCACAGGGCAGAGGATTGCCTTACTGCAAACACTAAACTTAAAAAAAAAAAAAAAAAAACTACAGGCGGGCCATAGTAGCTCACACCTTCAGTCACTTCACTCTGGAGGAAGAGGCAGAGGCTAGCCTGGTCTACAAAGCAAGTTCCAGAATAGCCAGGGCTACCCAGAGAAACCCTGTCTTGAAAACAAAGCAAACAACAAACAAATCTACAAAAATGGAATTTACGTCACTCCTGTTGAGTTTCTCACTTTTGAACCCTGTGGAGGTGTCTGCTTCAAGGGAAGGCATGGGGTAGAGTCTAGGGGTCCGCTGAGTTTCGACATAAGCTAGCAGATCATTCTAACTTAGCGTCAAACTAAGGACAAGGGGAATTTAATGGAAGCTGTCTTAAAACTGCCTTTAGGACAGTGCCTTTCTTACGAATGATGGGAAGATGTTTATCTGTGACAGGTTCATGCCATTTCTAGATGGTTCTTCCAGCAGGTAGTTGGGTATAATCAGATAGATGGCCCAACATCTTTACAGGCCAGGCCCAAAACAAAGGTCACCCCCACTGTAAAGTTCATTGCTGTGGGTCTAATAATTTAAAACAAAAGCACCTATGCCCGAGGCCTACGTTGCCTTGGTAATAAATAGTTCTTGGAGTGATGGCAAAGTAGCCCTGCTGTACCTGAAAGTGTTCATCTTCTGATTCCACCCCCTGACTGGTGACGTGACAGACATATGTACGTATGTGCTCCACTACGCCTGGTTGGCAACGTGGCTTCATATTTATTTATTTATTTATTTACTTACTTATTATGTGTGTATGTGTTCGGGCACACATGTGTCGTGGCGCACGTGTGAAGGTCAGAAGATAGTTTGTGGAAATCTTTTCCTTCCTTCTACCACATGGATTCTGGGAATTGAACTCAGTTTGTTGGGCCTGGTGGTGAGAACCGTTACCCACTGAGCCATTCTGACCTGGGCCCCGTAGCTTGGTTCCAACTTAACAGATTGTGTTAAATGAATGTACTCTTGGTGAGTTGGCAGGGTCTTTGTTTTTTTATCTCAGGATCGTATCTCAGTAGTTCCAGGGATATGGGATTAATAACAGTTTTTATATTTACTGTGTGGAGACTTTTGGGTCTGACTATGTAGACCAGGCTGTGCTCATAATGTTCTACATGCCTGTGCCAAGTGGAATTAAAGGCATACACCATCATACCCAGCTACCCTTACTTTAACATGTTTCTTGTTTTAGATTTATTCCGTGTTATGTGTTTGAGTGTTCTGCCTGCATGTATGTATACATTACCATGTACGTGCAGTGCCCATGGTGGGCAAAAGATAGTGTTGGGTCTTTTGGGAACGAGAATTTTGGATGGTTGTGACCCACGGTGTGGGTGCTGGGAACTGAACCCAGGTCATCAAGTGCTCTGAACAGGGCCGTCTCTGCAGCCCCATGTTTGCTTGTGAGATGACATGTTTCTCTGGTTGAAAATACAGCACAGACCGACTGACATTCTATAAATGAAGAGACTCTGGACCAAAGACCAAAAGCCCTTTATGCCCCTGGCCCCCAACCCCAAAGCCTTGCAGGACCCCGTCCCATGCTCCTCTCACTCACCCTTGCCACTCCTCCCTGCTGGGTCTTTTGTAATTTTGAGGAAATACCCCCACAGAGTAAGGGAAGAGGTTTTTCCTTGGAGTCCAGTTTCACAAATATCTTAAAAGCTTATTTGGCACCATGGTAGCGGGTGCTGTGTTTCAGATATGGCTGGATTAAAATCTTGTCTCAATCCTGGGAAAGAAATACTTGAAAAAGAAGGAGGAGAGTCCTAGCCCTTCTCTGGTTAACTTTTGTTGCTGGTTAGTGCCCCTACCTCTTCTGACACTGCACACCCAGGTGTGCAGTGAAGGGAACAGACCCAAGCTGTGCTGTCAGCATGCCTTCCGAAGTCAGGTAGTGAGCATTCAGCAATGGGCTGAGAGCCCCAGCCTGTGGGTCAGGGCTGGGAGCTGGAGCTTTCTGGGGGTGCCAGGTGCTCCTGGTGTAAAGGAAGCATGATGCTGGGGATGCCAGAGTCTGTAAGGTCATATCAGCCCACTGAAGCTGCCACCTGCTTAAAAGCTGCCATAAGACAGCTTTGGGGATGACATAAGGTGTTTTATTTTGTGCATGAAAATGCATTAGATAATATATATATATATATATATATATATATATACATATATATATATATTATTGGGATAAGTGGAGTCCACTGCACCTGGATTGTTTACAGTTCGAGTAAAAGTCCATTTTCTGCTGTATGTCACATGAGGGGACACATGTGGGGAGGAGGCTGTTGAGAGCCACCAGGATTGCCTTTGGATTAGTGTTGCCTGTTACCACTTCATGTGGCACACCCAGGAGCTGGGCTTTAGTGTCTCTAGCATGCCGTTTTCAGCCCCACTCTTGCAACGGAAATTCATAAAAGACCGCTGTTTGTGTTTTGGTAATTTCAAACTTGACTCCGATCCCTGCCCTCCCATTTGGAAGGTGCTAGCTAGACTGTTGTGTAGCCTTGTGTCTATCTCTGAGACTACAGAGGTAACTGACTCACAAGGTACCGCGTTCTCAGCCATCGCAGTTAGGGTGAGCCACATCTGTTTCCACTCTCCTCCCTGAAGGGAATGTGAAGAGGAGGTGATAGAGGAGGGGTGTGCCCTTGAGCAGGAGTTGTCAGGCTCGGGGTGTTAGTGCTGTCCTCCCCGTGGTCCTAACCCCTCCTTGTCCTCAGGAACACACCTACCAGAAGTGGATGGCCAAGTGCTCTTTTATGGGCTGGGGTAGCTAAGACATGGTCTCACCACATAGCTCTGACTGTGTAACTCTGGCTGGCCTGGATCTCACTGTGTAGACTGGGTTGGTCTTGAACTTCCAGAGATCTTGCATCTGCCTCCTGGGTGCTGGTGTCAAAGGCGTGTGCCACCACACTGTCCTTCCTCTCCAGTGCTTTCTTGATGTGCTCACGGAGGCAAGTGTGTGATTCTCAAGTTGTTAGAACCTCATCAGCTTGAACGTCACGAGCTCCAGGTGCCGGGATTTCTCATAGGAACCGATAGGCATTTATTTTGGTACCTGGTGAGGTCTTTTTCCCAGTGAGCGCTTTGTTTCAACCTGATTAGCTACACATCTGTAGCACTGACGGATCATTAAGCCTAGTTCTCAACTTCTCAGGAAGGCAATTCCAGGAGCCCTCTTCAAGGAAGAAACTTGTAAACTGAGTCATGGTGACTACTGTCATGTAGCCATCATTCGGGGTTTCTCCTGAGCGTCTGGGATGTGCTTGGCAGCTGGCTGTGATCTCAGCCTCATAGGGTGTGGCTGGAGGGAGGGCCACCAAATTTAGGGTGGTGTGGGTTAATTATGGTTATCTGTAAATGATGAAATACTTTTTTTTTTAAACAAGTCCAATTTATTTATTTGTTTATTTCATGTGTGTTGGTGTTTTGCCTTTGTGTATGTCTGTGTGAGGAGGGTGTCAGGACTCCTGGAACTGGAGTTACACAGACAGTTGTGAGCTGCCATGTGGGTTCTGGGAATTAAACCTGGGTCCTCTTGAAACTGCTGAGCCATCTGTACAGCCCTGAAATACTTTCTTAAACTAGTCTTCCATCAAAGCATATCAGGAAGGCTCTTTCCTCTGTCGTTGTGTGGCTAACATTATTCTGTATAATCCTGTATTGACTCTTGCAGTCTTAAATGGCAGCAATTAATTTTTTCCTTCAATTTCAAATTATTTAATTATTTTAATATGTACTTACAATATGATTTTTAAAAACATTTTAAATTCTATGTGTATGAGTGTTTTGCCAGCCTGCCTGATGCCTAGGGAGGTCAGAAGAGGGCATCAGATCCCCAGGAACTGGAGTTACAGTGGTTGTGAGCTGCCTTGTGGTTAGGTGCTGGGAACTTGAACCTGCAAGAACAACTGCTCTCCCAACTCTGTGTGTGTGTGGTGTATATTGCTGCATGTGGTGGCTCACACCGTTAGTCCCAGCACTCAGGAGACAGAGGTAGGAGGATCTCTGTGAGTTCGAGGCCAGCCTGGTCTACAAAACAAGTTCCAGGACAGCCAGGGCTACACAGTGAAACCCTGTCTTGAAAAACCAAAGCCAACCAAAAAAAAAAAAAAGTATATATACATTATAGAACGGTGAGATGGATTTACTATATGAGATACACATCCCAATTGCCTTGTTTTTATGTAAGAACACGTAGAATTTCTCAGTGTTTAAGAGTCATTTACACTCGTTTAGTTGTGCATGTGTGTGTGGTGTGCGCACACGTGGGTAGGAGGGCAGGTTACAGAAGTCGGTTCATCCCTTGCACCATGTGGGTCTAGGCCTCAAGCTCTGTTCAGGCTTCTCGGCAAGCTTCTTCACCCGCTGAGCCCTCCTGCCAGCCATTTCTTGGCTATTTTTAAATAGATAAAATATTATGTATTACAGTCATCAGGTGGATGATAGAGTTCTTAAATGAGCAGTGTAATTTATATTATTACTTTTTAAAAAAGAACATTGAAAGAGAAAGGCATTTTAATCCAAAGTCCCTACTTGCCTTAAGGCAGGGTTCCTCACATCTGCTTCTAAGCACCTATTATTGCTTTCCGTGGGTTGTTATCTAAGTTGTATTTTTAAAATTGCACAGTATTTAGCATAATATATATTACCATTTAGCGCTAAGTTTGAAAATCCTTTCCAGGCATTTTAAAGGGCTGGGTCCTGGACAAGACAAGAGCCAGGGGTTTCTTTTTCTTTCCTGCCTTTCCTAGAAGTTTGGCAGAGAAACCTAAGGCCTGGGCATTCCTTGCCTTGAAGGTTGTAGCTGGTAAAGCCCCGTGACCTTGACTGAGAGGAGCCCAGGCACAGGCCAAAGCGCAGGTGGGAATCAGGCAGAGGTGATGGCACCGGGGGAGCCCCCCACCCCACCTTTAGACTCAAAGGCAACAGACATGCTCGGCCACTCTGGGGAGAGTGGACTGATGTGCCAATTTCGTGACTTTTCTTTATTTCTTTAGAACTTCAGGTCAGCAAGGTTGCCTGCTGGCAAGCAAGGTTAATCTCTTTTTAGTCATTCAATCCCACAGCTTGAGTAGCTGCTGGTGGTTGAATGAGTGCCTGACTGGGCTTGCAGTTGGGGTCATCCAGCCCTCTCTAAGTCTAGGCTGGGAAGAAAACCCAAGAATATCAGAATGTCTGCTCATTGGGAGACACCACTCGTTTGGAGAGGTACACACCATTTCTAGTCCCTTGGGATACCATACATACAGTCAGAGAAGAGAAAACCCAGAACTTACAGGGCACTGTCGTGCATTCCTTAGGTGAAATATCAGCCACTGTTTCCCTACTGCTTACTTTGCCAACTTGTGCTGTCTTTTATACCCAGGAGACTCCTCACTCCACACTTCCCGTTTTCACTAGAGGTTACAAACCATTGGCTTTGGTCTAAGAACAGATTCTACCTGTTCTCACCCTTCTGTTGCCCAACAGTGTCTGGACATGTCCACAACTAACTGGCTAAGGGAGAGTGCTAGCCGACCTCTGACCAGCCGGCTCTTCCATCTTCTCACCCTATTCCCTTTCTCCCTCATTTTTGTTTGTGTGTTTTTTCAAGACAGGGTTTCTCTGTATAGCTGTCCTGGAACTCACTCTGTAGACCAGCCTGGCCTCGAACTCACAGAGATCCACTTTCCTCTGCTGGGATTAAAGGCATCTGCCACCACTGTTAGATTTCTGCTTAAATTATAAGAAAAAAAGGCACAAGATGAGACATGAGAACAATAGTTTATTATATCACTGGGGAGCGAGTGAGAGAGAACTAGAAAAGAGCAGGACAGAGAGTAAGAGAGGAGAGAGAGAGAGAGTTAATGGCTGACCCCCATGGTGGATCGCCAGAGAGAGAAGGTAACAGAGACAGGTAGGAGCTTTAAAGGGAAAGCTGAGCATGCGCACTGAAGCTTCACACATGCGCAGTGTCCTCACACAGGTCAGGGGTAATGTGTAACAGGTGATGAGGCCATGACGGGCACATCACCATGCAAGCCCCGCCTGTTGTCAGGGGGCGGGGTCTGTCTCTTAAAGAGGTCGAGCAGGTCGGCATTAAAGCCTGAACCTTTCAGCCTTTCAACCACCTCCTGGCTTCCTCCCTCCGTCCCTCCCTCCGTCCCTCCCTCCCTCCCTTCCTCCCTCCCTCCCTCCCTCATCTTATCTGGGCTTATCTTATGTATTTTGGTGTTTTGCTTGCATGTTTGTTAGCATTTTGCCGGGTGGCTGAGGAGGTCAAAAGAGGGCAGCAGATCACCTAGATCTGGAGTTTTAACCCATCACAAGCCACCATGTGGTGCAGGGAACTGAACTAGAGTCCTCTGCAAGAGCAGCTCTTACCCACCACGCCATCTTTCCAGCTCCCTTTTTTCTTTTTAAACTTAAATTCTACTGGGTTATTTCTAGTACATATAATATTCATTAGAGAAATTTCTCATTACTGAAAATGAGAAACTGGAGAAAGTCAATCATTGTATAAGATACTGACTCAGTATATATGTGTATGTGTATATATATATGTGTGTGTGTGTGTGTGTGTGTGTGTTTATTTGAAACAGTGCCTCACTGTATGGCCCTAGCTAGCCTAGAACACACTGTCTATACCAGGCTGGCATTGAACTCACAGATACTTGCCTGCTGCTGTCTGTCCCCTGAGTGTTGGGATTGAAGGTGTACACCATACTGCAAGGTTTGTCCATTTTTTGAGTGTATACATTTCTTCATTTTTGTACGCCTGATTACTTCTTTAAAAAAATATTGTAGTATAGGGTATATAACATGAACCTGGCCGCCCTTTTTACTCTTAAGTGCCCTCTTTAAAGTGGAACTGATTCCTTTCAAGGGTGAGCCTTTCTTCTCATGTTTCCTCAGCTTTTCTTTCTACCCTAGGGGTGAAAAGACTGAAGCCTTCACAGCTGATTTGGTGTCCTCCCATGTCCGTATCCATGGTGTCCATATTCAACCAACAACTATAGATCAAATGTGTGTTTTTATGTTACATGTATGTTGCATGTGTGTGCAACCTTTCTTGTCCCCATTCCGTAAATGTTAAAGTAACATTAACGTGGTGTTGACATTGTATTAACAATACTATGTAATTTAGAGGTGATGTGAAGCTTACAGGACAATGTGCTTTGGTTGTGTGTGCAGGCAGACACTGCACTGTTTAGGAGAGATCTCATGGGCTTTGGCACCTGCAGGGTCCTGGAACCAGTCACCACCCTGTGTTGAGGAAGCCATCATAGAGATGCTTTCTTAGCTGCCAGGCCTGAGAGTGCCCAGAGGGTAGTGGCAGGTCACAGCTGATGTAAATATTTTTTGTGAAAATTCTACAAATTGCTCATTGACTCGCTGAGCAGTCTCTTGTCCTTTTCTTTTTCCCTTTTCAAACATGCTCTCATGTAGTCCAGGCTAGCCTAGAATTTGAAACTCCTGCCCCTCTTGTCCCCATCTTCTAAGTGCTAGAATTATAGGCGTATACCAGCACGCCCAGATCAAATGTTTCATGTTTTGTTTTGTGGATCTGGACGTTGAGCCCAGGCCCTGAAACATACTATGAAGCACTCTTCCCAAATGAACCTTCCTTTTCTTTATGAAGGTTTTTAAGTACATGTAGGAAACAAAAAACAAAAACAAAACAAACAGTTGAGTGATCTCTGGCACAGAATATCATAATGACTTTGTCACACCTTTCCTAAAAGCATTTGTAATTTTATGAAGTGTGTGTGTGTGTGTGTGTGTGTGTGTGTGTGTGTGTGTATGTATGTATGTTTGCACAAACAGGTGTGCACCATGGGATGTATGGAGGTTAAGAGCAGCTTTTAGGAGTCAGTTCTCTCTGCCACCTCATGAGATCCAGGACTGAACTCAAGCCATAAGGCCTGTGCACAAGCACCTCTGCCGACTGAGCTGTCTTGCCAAACCTCATTTGTAATTTTGTGTGTGTGTGTGTGTGTGTGTGTGTGTGTGTGTGTGTGTGTGTTTCAAGACAGGGTTTCTCTGTCTAGATTTGGAGGCTGTCCTAGAGCTCGCTCTGTAGACCAGGCTGGCCCCGATCTCACAGAGATCCGCCTGCCTCTGCCTTCCGAGTGCTGGAATTAAAGGTGTGTGCCACCATGGCTTCTCATTAATAGTTGTTAATGAAGCCAAAGGAGAGAATTTAATATAGATCATATACACTGAACTAGAGATTCCGGTTGTTTCGGTCAGAAATGAGGCAAGGATGCTTTCTGGGGTGGTGTGTAACTTGCTGCTTTTCGGTCCTACCCTGCTCATGTGTTGTCCCCTTCTGTTCCAGGTGCTCCCCTGCCCAGTTCAGGCAATGAGCAGCACTCCTCGGCCTCCATCTTTGAGCATGTCGACAGGATTTCCCGAACCTCAGAAGCCAGCCGGAGGGTCCCCAGTAAAATCCAGCTCATTGCCATGCAACCCATCCCAGCACCCCCTGTGCAGCACCCTGTCCTGGCTGACCGAGTGGCAGAAACCAACAAGATCAACAAGGAGGTATTTGATGTTAATGAAAGAGAATTAATAAGAAAGCTCACGTCCTGATTCGGTCAGTGCTAGAGCAATGAGTTCAGTGGAAGGCCCAGTGTCAGATAGTTGCTCGAAGCAGGCACCGCTGCAGTGTGCCTAATTCAGAACACCGGGTGTGGTGACTTAGGCCTGTAATCCCAGCACCCTGGAGGCTGAGACAGAGGAGTCACTCCAGGACTACATAGCTCAGGCTACACTGTCTCAGAATCAGAAAACACACACACACACAGACACACACACAGACACACACACACACACACACACACACACACACACACACACACCCTATATTTTATTTTTTAATGTTTTATTTATCCTATGAAAATTTGGCAGATGCATACAACGTATCCACCGCCCAACTCTCCCCAGACCCGCTAACCTAGCTCCCTCCCTACTTGATGTCATCATCTCATCCTCATCTTTATTAATAACAGCCCCACCCATTGGGCGTGGGCAACCTGGCAGTGCCTCCGCCTCCTGTGCCTCCTGTGTTAGTGCCTCGGCCTTTGGGCTGTTTTTAACCTCCAGCATTAGTCAGGGTCAGTGATGGACTCTGACAAGATTAGCTGTAGGGGGTTAAAGTAGCAACCCTGAGAAGGCTGCCTCTGGGAGGCCGTGCTCTCTGCCTCAGCTGCCCCTGGCTTTGAACACTGGGATTAGCCTTCCCTAAACTATTGATCATCAGGGAGTGGATGGCTGGCCCTCTGTCACGGGTGTAGGCAGTGTCCATTCTCTGTCATCTCCTGGGTTCTCCCCCCCACCCCCATCAAGCCTACCTAGCCAGGGAGCCCGGGAGAGGAAGCCATCTCTAAAAGGTTTTTTTTCGGAGGGCATGTCCTAGAACCCTGAGCAGACAGACAGCCTGAGTGATTGTTTGTGCTGCCCGTAGATCCAGTCGGCCCTGCGCCACAAGTCGGAGATCGAGCATCACCGAAACAAGATTCGCCTGCGCGCCAAACGCCGAGGCCACTACGAGTTCCCAGTGGTGGATGACCTGTCTTCCGGTGACACCAAGGAGCGGCACCGAGTGTACCGCAGGGCACAGATGCAGATTGACAAGATCCTGGACCCCGCGGCCAGTGTGCCCTCTGTGTTCATAGAGCCCAGGAAGAGGTGGGCTGGGGCCCCAGGGTGGTCAGGCAGACGGGGCATCGGGCAGGATGGAGACTGGCCATATCCAAGTGGCAGGCCGTCTGTGACAGTGAATTGAAGAGGTTTCTGCAGCGGTGTTGTAGGCCTGCAGGAAGCGGAAGAGCTGGCTTCTGGGGAGGGAAGAATCTAATCTCCACACCCCAGCGCCAGCCCAGATGAGCTTCCTCTGCCTGATAAAACCATGCGCCTACCTTCTCTTCCTACAGCCAGCTTCTGCCCTACCCCACTTAGCTCTTCCCATCCCCCTACTTACTTACTCTTCACCTCTTTCGTCACCTAGATAGTCACAAGGGAACGTGGCAGGTCTCCATGTTTGTTTTCTCACAGTAGCCTACAGTCTTTGGCTTGGGGCTCAGTAAACAGCTCAGTGGTTAAGAGCTGTAGCTGCTCTTCCAGAGGACCTGGGTTTGATTCTCCAGCACCTCCATGGTGGCTCTCAACCTTTCTAACTCCAGCCCCAGGGGAGCCAGTGCTCTTTTCTGGCACCTACTCTCCAAGACATAAATAAAACATTGAGCTTGTCTTTCTATGCCCGGACCTGTACCCTGGGGCAGGTGGGTCTTCCTCTGTTTCGGTTCTGCCTGTGGCCAGCCTCACAGGGCTGTCAGTGGCTGGCCCTCTGATCTTGCCCCCAGATTTGTCTGCAGCCATTTCTGGCCCTCAGCCTGCTGGGCTGCCACTTCTAGGCGCTCTCCTGTCCCTCCTCAGCCTCAGATCTGCTCCCCCATTCAGGTCTCCTGTGGAGTATTAATAGCTCTCAGCTGGACCTGCCGCTTTTGGACCCGCTCTGTCACTAAGTGATGTCCTGAGTACAGATTGCTCTGCTGTCTCTGTTAGTTCGGGCTGGTCCATAGGGCCCAGACTGTGGCTGTCACTTTGTCAGAGTCTCTGGAGCTTTTCCTACACTGGCCAGCCCATCATAGGCATTCAGAAAACATTTGGTGTTAAGTTGACAAGTGAGCGGCTAACAGGTTTATTTCCTGTGAAGATAATTTCTGTTTTTCCCTATCAGCTCACGGATAAAACGTTCTCCTAAGCCACGCAGGAAACACCAGGTCAACGGCTGTCCTGCTGATGCTGAGAAGGACAGACTCTTCACTACAGACAGTGATGGCACATACAAGCGGCCCCCGGGTGTGCACAACTCTGCCTATATTGGATGCCCGGTGCGTAATCCCAAGCCCTAGGGAACCAGGGTGGGAGCTCTGAGGAGAGTGCCTTAATGGGAGAGGAGAGTGCATGGTGCTGTGTGCTGCCCTGTGCACAGTGAAGGCCAGGGCCAGCAGGCCGTGGGGCACACAGGGTGGACGAGTCCTATCAAGCCTCAGAACTGCCGGGTGACACCTCTGAGAGTCTGTCCCAGACTTTCCTGTCTGTGTTAACCCACCTCTGCTTTCATAATGGGAGCTGCTTGAGGTTAATTGGAAGAACAAGAATTGTCCAGGTTTTCTCTCTCTGCTCTGATGCTTGTCTGGTTTTTTTTTTTTTGGGGGGGGGGATATTTCCTGTTTTGTGTGTGCACCCACACACTCTCATAGAGTGAATCACTCAGTTGAGTCTCCTTTATCCAAAATGCTGGGGCCACACTGCTTCAGGTACTGGATATGTTGGAATATACATGCAGACTTTACCAGTTGAGCATCCCAATAGGAAAGTCTACGACTTGAAATGTTCAAAATCCCCAGCTAAGCATCATGTCAGGGCTCAGAAAGTTTCTGGTTTGAGATTAGGGATGTCACCCTTATACATACATACATATACATACATACATACATAAATACATACATACATACATGCGTGCATGTATAATTTTCATGAGAAAAAAAAGAGCTCAGTGGAAATGGACACAGTGTGGCTTGAAGTGATGAAGGCAGACATTGATATATTATGACATACATGCACAGGAACCATAGAAGAAGAAACCTAGCTTCTTAAGGGATCATTAGCAAGAGACACAAAGATGCCCTGGGAAAAAGGGGGAGAATCCAAAGGACAGAGCAGATGGGGCATAAAGGACTCAGCCCTACTGAGCTGAGCAAACTTAGAGAGCCAGCTTTGTTTGTGTGACCCTAGAGAAGGTATTGTATTAAACACAATCGCATTGTAGCTCTTATTTGAAGTTTCCATTTTTTTTTTGCCTAAATGACATGTAACTAATATGAAATGTTCAAAACATGTATAAGAATGTGCCAAGCACTGTACTGACCTGGGGCTGTAGTCTTAATTCCATCAAGATCGCCTGGAAGAAACAAGTCTTCTTTGCAGGCTTAATGGGCTCTGAAGCCTGACTGTGACCTTTGTAACCCACTCAGCTCTTGAGGGCTCTTCAGAGCTAGAGCTGCTAATTGTAGTTGCCACTGTAGAGCAAAGGAGTCAAGTAGTTCCTCTTCGTCTCTCTGAATGTCCTGCTCCCTGACCAGGGAGGGACCACCTCCCACCCACCCACCCCCCACAGACACACACACAAACTCATGCACAAACACACACACACACACACACACACACACACACACACACACACATAAATTCCTCACACAGACAAACATACATAGACACACACAAACACATAAACTAACACACAGACATACACACACAAGCTTTTCCTGCAACAGATGGGTGTTCCTGTCCTGCTTGGGTGTTGGGAAGCATGTGTCCAAAAACTGGTGGCGTTTGGCTCAGTCTAGAGAAACTGTCCTCATAGGCCTTCCTTATCTACAGTTACTGGTGCTTTTGTGGGACTAGTCATAGAAGAAGAAACAGCATTCCTTTCCCCACTACCTTTCCTGCCCAGCTAGGGCTCCTCCTCCCAAGGGAGCCTTCGGGAGATCCTTGTTTTCCAGCCCCCTTGAGATCTGTCCTCCTGTTGAATTTTGTGTAGGGAGTGTTTTTCCTTCATTATTTTTTCTTGATGACCAAATGTCAGTCTTTCCTCGTGGTGTCCTGGACCCTCCTTTTGGGTTTAACTTAATTTGGGGGAGCAAAATCTTGCTATGTTGCCCAAACTAGCTTCAGAATCCTAGTTCAAGCAATCTTCTGAGTGCCAGGACTACAGGCAGATGCCACTGTGCCTAGCTTGGACCTTCCTTTGTTTTCTCCATTTTCCTCTTTCAAGGGAAGTGCAGGGTTCCTCCAAGAGTTGATGGGAAGAGCCTTCCTGGAACCTCCTTGGACTTTGTTACCAGGGCTGCCTTTCCAAGGATTCCCTCTCAGAAAGTCCTCCCCAGATGTACTTAGCTTTTGACTGTGCCTGAAATGAGATATGTTTCAAAAATAATGCCTTTCTCAGAATTCACCTTTTCCTAGCTAGATTTTTACCTTCAAGGGCATATGTGTACTACATAGTTTTTCTCTGAAAGTAAATTCTCCTTGAGGGCTGTGCTTGGATCCTCAACCCCTTCTGGCCACTCTCCACTCTAGTTTGGGCCTGGAAGACTTCTGTCCTTGGGCCACATCCAGCCTGCTGCTGTTTGGGTCAACATTGGCCTTTTTGTAAGGTGACCACGCCCTTGCTTGCATGCTGTCTTTGGCCGCTTTTTGAGTTGCATTGTGACAGACTTTTATGACTTGCAGAACCTAAAATATTTATTGTCTGGCTCTTGACTAAAAGTTTTTGTTGGCTCTGGGCCTGCTGGTACCCATCCATAGTCCCAGCTGTGGCCAGGCGGTTGCTTGAGCCCAGGATTTTGGGGTTAGAGAGATCCTATCTCATTAAAACAACAACAGCAACAAAACACTACAAGTTTGTTGACTGCCTAATGTCATTTAGTGTCCAAACCAGATGCTCTTGGAAGAGAAAGAAGTGTTATGATTAAACCAGGGCAGCTCGCACAAACCTAAACCAGGATGTGAGGCTGCTCTCTTAAGAGCCCACTAAAGGTTGCTAAGTAGCCACCACAAGGCATGAACCACGATGTCTAGAAGAGCTAGCTCCATGTGTAGGACTGAGGAGTGACAGGGGCAGGAATCTGTCCTAAACAGCCAGCCTTTGGGCAGGATACGGGCCATTGCTGTTTTGAGATCAGAGCCATTGTATTTATCCCAAAGCAGGCAGGAGGGGGTCACTAGGAGGCCCAGAAAACCCACAGTTCCTCCCTTCTGAAGAATGCATAAGGATTAATAATTGCCAGGGGGCAGATTTTCTTGATGGCATAGTTGCCTGTCACTTGCTCATGCCCCTAAAGAAGACTCACTTCTCCTGTAAGCCGCCCTTACAGTGAAACACGTGAGTAGAATTGGGGGTTGGTGCCCTATCTGGGGTGAGTTGATGTTTGTTCACGACTGAGCGAAACAGAACGGCATCAGCAGACTGGAATTCAAGAGCTCAAGAGCGTAGAATTTAAGTTCCAGCCCAAGCAAGCACCTTAGCAAGTCTTACCTTCGTGTCAGCTTCTGACAGGAGACTCGGAGACAGAAGAGGCAGCGGGGAGACAGAGGAGTGGGAAGTTCTGACTTCACGGCTCTCCTTTTGGGTTTCGGGTAGGATTCCTGTGCCAGGGGGAACCCGAAGGAGCTACCCTTCCCATGCTCAGAACCTGTCTGTCCTGCTCCAAACGTTAAACTGTCTCTGTGTCCTGTAAAGTATTACCACAGAGAATGAGATGGGAAAGGTCCAGAGTGCTAGGGCACTGGAGGTTTAGGTGAGCACCTCCCACTGGGGTCTGAGTGCTTTGTGTAGCATGCTCAGGCACACACACACACACACACACACACGCGCGCGCGCGCGCGCGCGCACAATGTAAAATCAAATAAATCTTGAGCTGGACCTGGTGGCATATGCCTTTAATTCAAGCACTACAGAGATAAAGGCAGGTGGATCTCTGTGCTCAAGGCCAGCTTGGTCTGCATAGGAAGTTCCAGGCCATGTTGTAAGACCCTTTCTCAATAAATAAAATGAAAAATAACAAAGTTTTTGTTTTTATAAAGTCCCCTGGTTTTTCTGATTCTTGCTTCTTAAACTGTGGGTATAGGACTTTGAACTTTTCTCAGTGACTCAGATAACTCCATTTTAGATACATAATTTCTGAATATTTATTACTATTTACTTTGACAAGCAGTTTTTAAACAGTTATTTTAATTGTTTATACACAGACATAGTGTTTTCTGACAGTAGTCTTCTCCTTTTGGTTTTTACATCCATGGAAAGTTGGCTGGATTTGTGTAGTGTGTGCACTTTGAAGTGTGAATTGTGGCTACTTAGGCTCTCAGGGGCGATGCCTACCTCCAGGCTCTGAAATCCATTTCACACGGTGGAGTTCTACAGAAAGGAAGCTGAATATTCCCGCTTTGGTTTTTCTCCTATTGAAGTCCTTGTCTCCCACAAAATGTGATACGTATTATGTAGATGAGTTTTGGTTCTTATGACAAACGCTTTCCCACACACAGAACCACTGTTAAATTCCACTTTGCGCCAGAATTTTGTTTCATGCTCTGCCACCAGCTCCCATGGAAGCATGTGTGTCGTTCTCCTCTTTGCCTCTCACGCAGTCTGACCCTGACCTCCCGGCCGATGTGCAGACTCCGTCCTCTGCTGAGCTGAGCAGGTATCCGGGCTTGCCCTTCTCGGCCTCTCAGTACATCCCACCGCAGCCGTCTATCGAGGAGGCCCGCCAGACCATGCACTCCCTCCTGGATGACGCCTTCGCCCTCGTGGCTCCTAGCAGCCAGCCTGCCAATGCCCTGGGAACAGGTCCTGGGGTGCCGGCCAGCCTGCCTGTGAATAGTACCCCTTCCAGGGAAGAAAGGCGAGCCACACAGTGGGGGTCTTTCTACAGTCCAGCTCAGACGGCCAACAACCCTTGCAGCAGCGTAAGTACTGGTCTCCTAGAATTCTCTTCTGGGCACGGTGCTTGAGTTTTGTGACCTAACCGTGCCACTTGAAGGCTCCCTGTAAAACTTTGGCTGCATTTGATTAGATTTAAAGCTGCTTGGCAGGTCTTAGTTTTTATCTTCTACTACAATTAATTCTTAGTGTTGGAAGCATCCTTTCGTGCAGGAGGGAAGCAGGTGGTGGTGCAGGAACCATCTTCCCAGCTTCCTTATAGGGTCACAAGGAGGAGATATGTTGTCAGGGTGTATTCTTGTTGATTCTGTAAAGGGATCAGTCTGTTCTTGGACCACCTGGTCCTGGAGATGTTCCCAAGGCTGGGAAGGCGGAGGCACTAGTCCAAGCCCAGACAAAGACGACTATTTGCAAATGTCAGCTTTCCATCTTGTGTTATCATTTATACTTATTATATTTTGTTTGTTTTTAAAATTCTTCTTTGTATGTGAGTGTGGGTGTGTATGTGTGGGTGGGGGATGGGGTTGGTGCTGCTTCCCATGTGATGTGTGTGGCTGCACATGCCTGTGGGGACTAGAGGCCAGTCTCAGGTGCTGTTCCTCACGAGCTGTCCATTTTGTTGAGGTGGGTGGGTCTTTCTCTCACACTGATCAGTTCATCGAGGCTGGCTGGCCAGTAAGCCAAAGGGAGCTCCCTTCTGTCTGCACCCCCCCAGCACTGGGAGTACAGGTGCACGCTATCATGTATCTGGATTATGATGTGGGTTTTGGGGATCCAACTCAGGGTCCTCCAATCCAGACAGCAAGTGATGTACTGACTGAGCCCCCCCCCCAATTCTCTTTAAGAGAACATACAAGTTAAACATAAGGAAATGACACACACTGCTTTCCACCAGTTTCAGATGAAATGATTGCACTAAAAGCTTTGTGACCTATTAACCCCACAGAGAAGTTAATATGTTAAATGTAAATTCATTGGGTGGTGAGTATTTATACTGGGTTTTTCTCATTTTTCTTTTAAACCTGTGCTAAGATAATCCTGGGGGTGTCTTGGCTATCTCTCAATGTGTGTGTGTGTGTGTGTGTGTGTGTGTGTGTGTGTGTGTGTGTGTGTGCCTGTCTGTCTGTCTGTCTGTCTGTCTGTCTGTCTATGGATAGAATTTTTATCTCTGAGGTTGGTGTGATTCTTTTCCACATTGATTATTTCCTTTGCTGCAAGAGATGCAGAGTTAGTCGGTGTGGGCAGCGGCTGTCACATCCCATGTAGTCATTACTGTCTTTACTATTAAACATAGCTTTCCAACGATAAACATTCAACTACTTCAAAACACATGAGACGAGGGACGCGTACCTAGATCATCGGTTAGGTGTGGTGACGCACGCCTTTAACTCAGCAGAGGCAGGCAGTGTAAGTTTAAGCTAGCTTGGTCTACATAGTGAGTTCTTCCAGGACAGCCAGGGCTGCACAGTGAGACCCTGTCTGAGATGAAGGAAGAGAGGAAAGGAGGATAAACACAAACGCTGGGGTAGTGTGAGGAGAGAGCACCGCTTGGCCTTGATGGGAATGGGAACTGAAGTGGCCACCTCGGTGGTTCCTCAGCCCTGAAGTGTCACACTGTTCACGTGGCTGCCGAGTGGAACCAGCCACATGCCTGCCAGCAGGTGACCAGATGAAGAGTGAAATCACGACGCCTGTGGGGAAATGGATGAACCGGAAGTCATTATGTTAAGCAAATAAGCCAGCCTCAGAAAGATAAATAGTATGTTTTCTCCCGTATGTAGAATCTAGACTTATGTTTTACGTATATGCAGAGCATGAACATAGAAGAGAGTCCACGAGGGGCAGACAGGAAGAGGTCCCAAGGAGAAGGGAGGAGGCTGTTTGAGGGAAGAAAGGGGTGGGAGGGGACAGAAAAGAACAAGATGCAAATACACACATGCGTGAAAATGCCACCGTGAAATCCACCACTTCTTTCTTTCCTTTTCTTTTTAATGTTTATTTTTCAAGACACGGTTTCTCTGTGTAACCCTGGCGGTCCTGGAACTTGCTCTGTAGACCAGGCTGGCCTTGAACTCAGAGATCCGTCTGCCTCTGCCTCCCAAATGCTGGGGTTAAAGGTGTGCGCCACCAACGCCCAGGTTAAGATCCACTGCTTTCTATGCTAACAAAGATTTTAACCCAATAAACTATGGGACTGTTGCCCAATGAAAAGAAGAAACACAATCAGTTTGTCAGTTGCTCTTATTTTATTGCCAGGGATTATGCACCAGTCTCTCGTGTGCCAGGCTCGTGCTCTGCCTTTGGGCTACATCCCTAGCCCAGATTGGTTGTGGATCTGACAGTGGTGGGCGTTAAATGCAGGCCCCGTAACATCCTCTGTAACACTGTGTCCACAGCCAGGCAGTCGTCTCCTACTAGTTAGATGAACCAGTCTTTCATTTGCTACATTTTTACCCAGAAGAAATGAAAGCATTTCTTTTCCATCTAAAAGCCTTTGTATCACAGAGCTTCAGTCACCCAGTTTTAGATTTTAGAGTTCTGCAGTTTGGTTCCAGTAACACACAGAATAATCCCAATACTTGACAACTGGGATGACGGGAAATGAAAAGGCTTAGACACAGTTAAGAAAGCAATCACTAGTGTGACAGGCCCAGCTCACAGGATGGAGACAGCCTGGCAATTATATGTGGTGGCCCACAACCATCTGTAACTCCAGTTTTAGGGGACCCAGTGCCTTCTCTGGCCCTGCTGATGCTGTACACATGTGGTGCACAGATGTACATACAGGCAAAACACCCTTACACATAAAGTAAAAAATAAAGTTATAAAGAGGTCAATCAGTTGAAAAACTTGAATCATTGTTTGCTCGTGGAGGACCCCAGTAGCATGCTGAATTTTAATAAAAAAAACAGTTCTTGCTTGGCATTATGGTACTTGCCTTTAATCCCAGTGCTCGCATGGTTGAGGCAGATGGATTTCTGTGAGTTTGAGGCTAGTCTAGTCTGTATAGTGAGTTCTTGTAGCACGAATTCTAATTGGTCTTAATAATAAAAACCTGGAGTCAGATATCAGGGTAAATGGTCAAAGGTCAGAGAAGTAAAGGAGCCACAAAAGAGACCTCCTCAGACTAATTGCCTCTCAGACTGCATCCTCAGACTGACTGCCTCTCAGACTGCCTCGCAGATTGTTTTCTCTCGGAAACCTCAGACTGCATCTGAGTTCCTGTCTCTTCCCACCTTTCTCCAACCAGCCATATTACTCCTGTGTCCACCTCCCTAGTGCTGGAATTAAAAGTACTGGTATCAAAAATGCTGGGATCATCTTCTCCTTTAGACAGATTCAATCTTTCGTAGCCCAGGGTGGCCTTGAACTCAGAGATCTGTCTGCCTCTGTCTCCTGATTAAAGGGGTGTGCCACCACTGCCTGGCCTCTATGGCTAACTAGAGGCTTAGCTCTGGATCTTCAGGCAAGCTTTATGGGTTAGATTACAAACAGAATATCATGACAAATCACAAGACTGCCAGGACTGTGTAAAGAGACCCTATCTCTTAACAAAACAAAAACCAACAACAGACAAAATGAAAACATTGTTGCTAGGTGTGGCAGTGCATCCCTTTAAATCCCAGCATTGAGGAAGCAAAGGCAGGCAGATCTCAAGTTTAGGACTAGCCTGTTCTACATAGTGAAGTCCAGGCTAGCTAAGGCAACATAGTGAAAAACTCCTCAATAACAATGTAACAATAATAATATTCCTGAAAGTTGACCTAAGTTTGTAAACTTGATAGTGTCATTTTATGAGTATTAAATGCCAATTTTTGTGTTCTTTTCAATTTCCCTTAGAGATATGAAGACTATGGAATGACCCCCCCATCAGGCCTGTTACCGAGGTAAGGTTTCTGGAAGAAATCCCATCATGGCTTTCTCACAAAGGCTGTTGCTTTGTTTTCTTTTTTTCAACTTTACAGGCTCATATTTGAATAGTTACCAAACTCTGTGTTGTGTATTTTCTTGATCTAATCAGAAGAGGTAAACTGTTGGAATTTGGGAGATTTCTCAGTGGTAAAATGCTTATCAAACAAGTGTTAGGACTTGGGCAGGCAAGAGGGCTGGCTCAGTGGATAAAGTTGTGTGCCACCAAGCCTGATGACCTGAGTTCAGTCACTGGAATTCAGGTAGAAGGAAGAGAACTGACGCCAGCAAGCTGCCATCTGATCTATATGTGACATAGCACATACTCACACATAGCTACACACACACACACACACACACACACACACACACACACACACACACACACACACACACACACACACCAACACACACACACACCGAACATCTGTGTGAGGGCAGATTCTCCTGAAGTAACACATGCCAGATGACGATATGAAAACACATGGGAAACTCTGCTGTTTGGGGAATTTTGTTTTTTTAATTTCTTTTTTTTTTTAAATGGAGAGTGCTGGATATCTACAATTTTGTTAAAATGACTGTAGAACCTGGAAAAGCTATTGCTGGCTATTGATGCACAACATTCTGCTCCTGCTGGTCTTTTATAGAAACAAAAATATGTATGTGCGTCTGTGTAACTTGGATTTTTGAAAACTTTAACTGCGATGTCGATTGGGGGGGGGGGAAGTATCCCCAGTTTATCATGTTTACTTGACATCATACAAAAATCAACATTCATGTTGATTAAACTTAATTTTTTTTCATTTTTACAGGAATGATACACTGTATTAAATATGTAAGGTCTTATCGATGTGGGTTTGGGTACAGAAACTAATAAAGTATTCTCTAGAAAATAAAACAGTTGGGTGAGAATTTCAGCGTACTCTGCCAAAGGCATTTGAGTCAAATCTCAGAACCCTCCACTACCTGGGAGTGGTTGGGGAACAATCGTTAGTTCCTGGGGATTGTTGGGCTAGCATGTAATAGGTTGTATTTTTACTAGATTCTCAAAGTAAGTGTTCTCAAATGCTCTTAATTTAACTTACCATAAAGGTAATATTTGTGGATAGAAAACACATAAAAGCTCTTAGGAACCCTCAATAATTTTTTTTTTTTAAGTTTAAAGGGGTTCAGATCTTAAAAAGTTTTAAAACACGTCTTAAACTGGTTTTCAGTCTTGATGGACAAATGAGGTTGTCTATGGAGCTTTTCTTTTGAAAACAAAAACCCAAAAGCAAACATCAAACAACTCATGTCTGGGTTGCATATTTCTGGGGTGCAGCATGGGAAGCCAGACTGAAAAGCGAGGCTCCAGTCATCTGCCTCCCCTCTCCCCTCCCCTTCCTTCCCCTTTCTTCCTCTCTCCTTTCTTCTCTTTCAGACTTAGTTCTGAGGTAGGGCCCAGAACAAACAGGAAGGTTGTAGCCTTTAGGGAGCAAGAGAATGTCTTAAATTCCAGGAGAGATAGATAGATAATTAGGTGGGGCCGCCTTAATCCCTGTAGGGGGCGCTAGCCTAAGGACGTTCTAGAGCCCGCTAAGGGGCTTTGACGCTTGCTGTGCTCTCCCAGCAGACCCAGCTTTGGCCCAGGATTGCTGCCGGCTTCAGAGCTGGTCCCCTCTGAGCCCTCACAGCCACAGTCGTCAGCTGAAGCTTCGTTTGCTGCCCGAGGGATCTACTCTGAGGAGATGCCATCCGTGGTTAGGCCTCGGCCTGTTGGGGGCACCACAGGTGAGTTCGGCGATTGAGCTTGTATTTTCACATAGTCGGACCGTGCCAAGCCAGTGTAGCTGGCCCAATACCTTCCATCTGTCCCTCAGAATGCTGGGATTGCAGATGTGTGCTGCCCTGCCTGGTTCTTTAGATTCTGGGAATCCAGCTAAGGCGGTCGGGCCTCCATGCCAAGGGCGTTGACCTGCTGAGCAATCTCCCGAACCCTACAAATAAACTTTATAATTACTTCCTCTGATTGGCTCTCCAGAGGTGTAAGTGGTACAGCTGGGAGACCCTTTAGGGTTTCAGTGCGGGGACACTGCTCTTTGGTGGGCAAGCAGAGGCTACCACAGCTGTGCTGGGGTTCACTGTGGTAGCTGTTGGTGTTTACCCAGGCTTCAGACTTTTACTCCCCTGGATCACTGTCTCCTTCCATAGCTTTCCGTCTCGTGAATAGACAGTGCTGAGAGCTGTTTGTGAATGAGTCCTGTTTCCACCACTGCCCAGCTAGAAATTGTGTAATTGTTTATATTGGAAAATGTTGCTATCCACTAGAAGAATGTTTTTAAGATTTATTTATTTTTATTTTATGGGTATGGGGTGTTTTGCCTGTATGTCTGACTGTGCACATGTATGCAGTGAGGAGGCCAGACGAGGGTGTTGGGTCTTTTGAAACTGGGATTACAAAGGGTTGTGAACCACTTTGTGGGTGCTGGGAGCTGAACCCAGATTCTCTGCAAGAGTGGCTAGTGTTTGTAACTGCTGAGCCATCTCCAGCTCCTAGAATTACTTTTTAAAAATCATGAAGTGTGGGGCTGGGGCTGTAGCTCAGTTGATAATGTACTTTCCGGGCACACACAAGGCCATTCCTCAGTACGGCATAAAATTGCACTCCTCAGTGCTGCTACACACCTGTAATCCCAGCCCTTGAAAGTCAGAGGCAGATCTCTTGTGAGTTCAAGACCAGCCTAGTTTACATAGTGAGTTCCAAGACAGCCAGAGCTACACAGATAAGCAAAAGATAAACAAAAGAAAAATAAGACAAGTCTGTAAGGTATTATGAGAAAGAGGCTTATTGTAGAGGATCGATCATAAAAATTGACAAGTAGGGAACCTTCAGAAGATGTAAGCAGAGAATAGGAAGAAATAATTCGCAGAAGTGTAGGGAAGTGTGTGCGAGCATGCAAGTGTGAATTTACACCATATAAAAGAACTAAAAAAAAGTCAAAAATAACTAGAGAAGTACCAATTAAACTTGATAAATACAACCATGAAATTATCTTCATAAAAATGTAGTGATTTGCTGGGCAATGGTGGTGTTGCACACCTTTAATCCCAGCACTCGGGAGGCAGAAGCAGGTAGATTTCTGTGAGTTCGAGACCAGCCTGGTCTACAGATCGAGTTCCAGGTCAGCCAAGGCTACCCAGAAAAACCCTATTGTGGTGATATTTTGTTTATGCTATAACAAATACAGCTCACAGATCAGAGTGCAGAGCTAGCCACACTAGTTAGCCATAGAGGCCAGGCCGTGGTGGCACACACCTTTAATCTCAGGAATCAGGAGACAGACAGACAGATCTTTGTTAGTCCAAGGCCTCCCTGGGCTACTTGAAATTGATCCAGTCTAAAGAGAAACAAAGCTCACACAAAGGTGATCTCAGCACTTGGGATCCCACACCTTTAATCCCAGCACTAGGAAGGGGGAGACACTAGTGATATGGCCGGGCAGAAAGAGTAGTATAAGGCGGGAGTAGACAGGAGCTCAGTGAGTCTGAGGAGCAGTCAGCCTGAGAATTCGTAGGGACAGGATTTCCCCTTTGGTCTGAGCATTGGTAGAGGTAAGAACTGTAGAGGCTGGCTGCTGTGCTTCTCCGATCCTTCAGCTTTTACCCCCTGATAGCAGACTCCGAGTTTTTATTATTAAGACCAAAGAGAATAAACAGCAGCAGAAAAGAATGTGGTGATCAGATTTGCATCCAGTGCTGAGCTCCTAGGTGGTTTGGAGCGTTTAACAAGATGTCAACTACCCCAAACAGTGCTTGGTGTGTCCCCCGCTTCAGGACAGACACATCAGCTGCCATTGTTAGTGCTCTGTTGCATTGCCGCCGTCCCGCTGCTGGCTGTGTGAGTTACTATTCCCACTGTAGTCAAAAGCAGCTTGAGGAAGGAAGACTTTGCTTTGTTTGCCTCACTTGGAGGGTTCCGGTTCCAGTCTGCGGGGAAGGCAAGGTGGCAGGAGTGTGAGGTGGTGAGGACACAGTTAGGAAGCAGAATTGTGTAGTGAGAGCTTTGGGGGATCAGTTTGGAAGTAGGACTCATGAGCTTTTGATTTGGTAAAAAAAATTTTCTTGGAATACAGTCTCCCTGCTCCCAAATCCAAAATATTGAGGGGAGAATGACATGCACCAAGATGTCTAGCTCCTCATTAATCAGAGTGGGAAGAAGAAAAGGGAAGTTACCTCCCTGGATAACAGTGAGTACCTTGTGCAGCTGTATGTCCATCTGTGTTTCTCACGATTTTCATCTGCCTATCCATGGCTCACCGTGTAGACCAGACTGGCCCTCAGACTCACAGAGATCCTCCTGCCTCTGCCTCCTGAGTGCCCGGATTATAGCTGCGTGCCACCATGTCTGAGAAAGGCTTGAAATGTTTTAAGATCCGACAGTTGCCTCTTACGTGTTTGGTGCTTGGTCTCCCTCGAATCTCTGTCCCTTGAATTAATCTTCTGTGGTGACTGCAGATGTGAGGGACCTGATTCTCCACAGGGCCGGGAACCAGCCTCTGGAGGACAAGGGCTCGTCAGCAGCTCTGAGTCAGCTGGGAGCCTATGCTGTTTTGTTAAGGGATCAAAGCAATATTCAAAATCAGGACTACCTTAGGATTTCAGCCACTATGTGGTTTAACACAAAAGAAGGGCTTTAATCCCTCCCTGAACCATGTCTGTACCTCTAAAGATGTGCTCGGTCTGTGTCTGGAGCCGAGTGCTGACACTGCTAGATGGTGTTCATGCTACTGGCTTTTCCGTTGCAGACCCGGCTCATATGGCGCTCATTGCCCTGGCTGAGGCCCAGGAGGCTTCTTTTCCTGACCATTGGTTATTGCTGTATGTCCAAATATGACCGGTGAAGAGTTCCTTTTAAAATGTAGTCAGTCAGCTGAAGGTAACTAGACAGCATGAAAATGGGCTGAAACGCGGAGGCCACATTACCCCAAGAGAGCTTCTGTACCATGGACAAACTTGATGACCCTAGGAGTGTTTAGAGCTCTGTACTGTATTTCACAACGCTCAGAGAGAAGTGTTAGGAGTTGGGATGTAGCTCACCAGTGAGCTCTTGCCTAACATACAAGATCCTAGACTCGGTCCTGAGCACCACAGAAAAATAAAATAAAGATCCTTCCTTGATTGTAGTGTAGGGATATTTCCATGTGCCAACCTCAGACAAGAGAAAGACAAGAACACTGTTGTAGCCACACCCAAGCCAATGTCTGGGTGTGGGAATTAGCTGAGAGCCTGGCCTTGCCTTCGCTGCCTCTTGCCTGTAAGCTAGTGAGTGGGGTTACTTGTGCCATGGCTGTTGTGGAAGCATGGAATGTTCTCTTGACATTCTGAATTTAAATAATTTTCTCATCTTCACACCACACATTCAGGTCCTTGTGAACATCAAAGCTACAAGCAGGAAGGAGCCAGGCTCCAGCGTCTCTACAGCCTCAGGACAGTTTGCCCCTTCTAAGTTATTAACTTCTGCGATCCCTCATCCCCAGACATCTGGTGGCAGTGGCAGCCTTACCTCAGCAGCATGTTGGGGGGGAATGAAAGCAGCTCTCCCGCCTGCTGGCTTAGAAAGTGCCACTTTTAGAGATGTTCCAGATCAGCACAGAGTTTGAAAAACACCTGTTTCCTCTATTCTTAAAGGAGCTCCTGGTCAGAGTTGCAGGCGTCCTTGGCAGCCTGAGTTTAGATGTGCTATGGATGCTAAACTGGTCACTGATGTGTTCCTTTCAGGCTCACAGATCCAGCACCTGACACAGGTGGGAATCGCAAGCAGAATCGGGGCCCAGCCAGTGGAAATTCCTCCCGGCAGAGGCAGCCAGTACGGGGGACCAGGCTGGCCTGTGTATGGGGAGGAAGAGGCAGGGCGAAGAGAAGCCGTGAGTATCTGGGACTTGAGCATCAGCTAGAGCTCACACAGTCACTCTGTGTAGCCGCTTCTGCTTTGGCACTCTTTTAAAAGCTGTGCTAAACACGGCTGCCACCCCTTCACTCCTATTAGCGTGGTTGTGCTGGCAGTTTGGTAAACCCCTCCACTTGTGGAATAGCTGTGGTTTTCCTTGAGACAGATTCCGGGTTTCAAGTCATGGATCTGAATAAAATCCAGACTACTTGTTTGGTGTGGCCACTATAGCTTTTCGTGATCTAATCTTTTCTGTGTCCTCACTGGCTTGCTGATGACACTCTGACCCTGACCACCACTTGGGGTGGTTTGGTGGTAAGGACATGACTTGGAGCACTTCAAGGCATCCTTCGTCATTTGGCTTTCTAGCTACTCAGTGTGACACCATTAATATCTGCAAGTTCTTTTCTTATTTTCTTAAGAATTTTATGGGTCCAGGGTCATCAATGGTTAGGAGCACTTTCTGTTGAATCAGGAGGACCAGAGTTCAAATCCTAGAACCCATGTCCAATACCAATAACTCCAGTTCCAATGGATTGGATGCCCTCTTCTGGCCTCAGTGGGAACATACTGACGTGTGTGTGTGTGTGTGTGTGTGTGTGTGTGTGTGTGTGTGCACAAATACACAGTGACATATGTGCATGCACACACAGACACACAAACACAAATAAAAGAAAATAACTATTTTTTTAAAGAATTTTCTATCTTGGGGTATAAACGAACTGATTTTGAGAATACAAACCTGAAGATGCCTTTGTTTTAATCTCGTTGTTGTGTGCCAACTTTCATTTCAATTTGTTACTTTCTCAGTGGCCACACGAAATTCCTCACACAGTCAGAAGCTTTTTTTTTTTTTTTTTTTTGTAGCTCTGACTGTCTTGGAACTCGCTTTGTAGACCAGGCTGGCCTCAAACTCACAGAGATCCACCTGCCTCTGCCTCCCTAGCTCTGGGATTAAAGGCGTGCACCACCACCACCCAGATAGTCAGAAGCTTTTACTTAGTGAAAGGAAGCTTGGCTCTAAGAGTATGGTTTTCCACTAAAAGATCTTTGCTAAACTTACAGTGTCGGGTGTTTGCTTAAAGTGTATTGACAACTTCTGTTGTTAGTGTGCCCAGCTTCATTTCACAAAATGTTGTGGGTTTTCTGCTAAATCCAGAAATGTGCACCTGGAAACATTTCTTCATCACTGTGTGGAAGTAAAACGTAGAAGTAGTCAGGGTCAGGAGGCCATGTTGACCTCACATTTAGAATGCTGACCGTGAAAATCTGCATGCTGATTGGCCTATAGTGTAGTGAACTCAACCTGTGATTTAGAACTGAACTGATTTAGTTCACTGAAAAAAATGAAGAAATGTAATCATTCTTGCCAAATAAATTGATAGTCTGCCGGTATCAGAAGAATTAACGTCTTCTAGTAAAAATAGCCTGCTTTTTAAAAAAGGCTCTAAGACTTAATAGACTTCCTAGGGGAGCAGGAGGAGAGGAGGGAGGGGGAACCGGGATTGGAATGTAAAAGCTAAATTAATAAAAAAAAAATGAAGAAAAAGCTCTAATAGTGCATGATAGATAACCATTGGGTAGGATGGAAAACGAGACTGTCGTGGAGAGATTTGTCTGCAATCCCAGCAGTTCAGAAGTGAAGGTAAGAAGTGATGAGTTGTAAGGATAAGGACATTTACTCAAAAGCAGAAGAGATGGAAAATGACTTTATGATTGGCTTTGGCCTTGAGGTCCCGCTATGTTCTAATGCACACTCCCTGGGCGCTGGGACGGAGGCATGGGTTCTCATCATCCCTTTGCCAGTAGCTCCTTAGCTGCCTCCACTCTGGGATTTCATCAAGTGTGTTCCCCCCACTTTTCCTTTCCAGCGCCAGTCTCTCTCTGTTTTCCCCATGAATCAGAAGCCCTGGGAGTAGCTCCTGTCTGCATACACAGGGACTTGGGCGGCAGGGGCTGTGATGGAGAGCCGAGGGAGTTAGTGGGAGATGGCTGGAGGACAACTTGGCATCCCCACGCCACTGTCGATTTGGTTTTCCTTTTGTTCTCACAGGGGAAGTGTAATAATGTTTACTATGTCTTTCAGACACACATGCTCGGACATCAAGAGTATTCTTCTTCACCGCTGTTTCAGGTGCCAAGGACTTCGGGCAGGGAGCCCTCAGCTCCTCCCGGGAACCTCACCCACCGAGGGCTACAGGGCCCTGGGCTGGGTTACCCCACCAGCTCCACAGAGGACCTCCAGCCCGGCCACTCCTCCGCCTCCCTCATCAAAGCGATCCGCGAGGAGCTCCTGCGGCTCTCCCAGAAACAGGGCTCAGTACAGAACTTCCACAGCTGATCAGCCTCCCTTGCAGGTTTGCCAAGTATCTGCTTCCTGTGGAAGCAAGACCAAGGAAATCAACTGAGTGGGTGTTTGTAAGCATCGGAAGCAGCATCTCCGGGCAAGCCGCCCGGGGAAGGGAACAAGTTGCAATTTTAGAAGATGCCATAAAGTCACACGGACAACTCATGGTTCTTTCACTGGTTTGGCAATTTGGTGGCCACTTGGGTTCGTTCAGTCAAGACGTGTGTACTTTCACACACACACACACACACACACACACACACACACACACGAGAAAGACCAAAACACAGACCTAAGCTAACAAAAATGCTCCTCTTTCAAAGGCAAAAGATCAAAACCAATCGGTGGTTAGGGATGGAGGGGGCAGCGTTTCTGTGGGAGTCTGACTGGCACATACAACACACCTGCTCTGTTTCCTGAGAAGAGAGATTTCAAGACACTTTAGTAACAGCTTGGTCCCTCTTTTCCTCTGTAGGAACTTATTTCAATAGTAATATCAACAACAAGATGTACTGAGACTGCTTGGTAATCTAAACAAACTACCAGTGAGAAACCTGATGACAGGTTGTGGAGCCTGGTGATTCCAAACAAAGCCATCGCCTGCATTCTTTCTCCTTCTGGTGCTACAGCTCCGAGGGCCCTTCACCTTTCTGTCTGTGAAATACAACTGTGGCTTTTTCAGTAGAAGAGTATGTTGGCGGTTTCGCTATGTTCTGGGGGTGGGAGGGAAGAAAAGGAAAAAAGTACCATTGGGGAGGGGGAAGCTTAATATTTATTTGGTTATTCAAAATACATATCAGAGTTTAGATTTCCAGTCTTAGTTGTATTTGCTGGGTTTTTTTTGTTTTTTTTTTTGTTTTTTTGTTTTGTTTTGTTTTGGTTTTTCATTTGGCTTATCAGCTCTTGTGTGACATGTCAGCGCATCTCAGAACAGGGCTTTTGGGATGTCCCCACCGCCAGATCTTTGTACTTCGCTGACAGCTTGCTCCCAGATTATGTTTGAATGAGGAGTCTTACAGAAGCAAACATGATTATCATGAATCTACGAATAGTAGTTATGTTCCCTGAGCTCCAGCCTGGAAGTGGAATAATGTTCTATCAGCCTCTATAGAGACCGAGAAGGAAACGAGAGTTTCCCCCATTTCTAATTTTGCTATCATTTCTTTGCCCCAAAACGGTCTTCCTCACTTTAGGCCAGAGAGAGGTCATCTCACAGTCTCTGCTGAAGTCACATTTCTCAGCCTCTGACATTATATTCAATGACATTCTGTATTCTGGTGGCTAAATGAGACTCTGGGACATTGCAGACTAGCAGGGGAGTCCAACCACGAGCCTCTTGGTCAGATGAAGGAATACTTTTGATTGAACAACAGATAGTGGGGTAGCGTTTGGGGGGCTCAGCCTAAGCAAAACCTGTGTGTCTGAACATGTTTTAAGAACATGGGAACAGCTAAAAGCAAGCTCCTAGACTGTAGTCACTGGTTCCAGAATTGTTTCTGCCCTTCTTAGTCGGTCTCAGGACTCAAGGGCCACCTGTTCTTGGAAATTGGTTTGACCGTTGCTTATCTGCACACTTCAGATGAGAAGGCATGCAGGAGGGTGTCCCACAGCTCTTCATCAGGTGTCGTGTAGGCAGTCTGCAGAGCACGGAGGAGGAGACCCCTGTTCTGGGTTTATTTGGTGATCTTGATTTAATGTATACTCTTCCTAAGCTGGAAGATCCTCTTCCCAAGCCACTTAGAAAACCAAGTATATCCAGGCAGAATTTTATTATGACTCCTTGTGAGAAATTCAAATCATATAGCACAGAGAATAAATGGTCCTTTCTTACCCCATGTCATAAGTGTTTGGGACATAGAGTGTCATAAAATTACCTCCTTTGTACACTGCCAAAATAAGCCTTGGTGTCGGAGGATGTGATGACAACAGCAGTTTTGATGCCTTTGAAATTGTAATAAAGGGATTCTACCTGTGTTTTTATTCTTACTAGCAGATACACCTTTAAACGGGCATTACAACCAAAGGTGAGTTGGTGCACAGGCCCTCTGGGAGCTCCAACGCTCGGTTGTTGGTTATTTAAAGCACACTCAGTTTGCACTCATTTCCCCTAGACACCCGCCACAGCAGGTTTACCATGCTGAAACCACTGTAGGGTACGCCATGCCCGTCAGGTGTCCAGTCACTCATGCAGTGCGCTCCCCTGAAGAAGGCCGTCCTCTTCCACGTGTGTTAACTTTGGTGTTTCACATATTAAAGCACCCAAAAATAAAAGTTAACTTTAATGTCTGTCCTTTTCTCCTAATTCTCCAAGTTCTGCTGAGAAATACGAACTACACATTGGAGTCAGCATTTTAGGAGAGCGTGTCTGGAGAAGTGCTTTTTTTTCCCAGTCCCCTTTGTTGCTAATCCCTTTGTCTGGTTTCTTCTGAAAGTCATTCTTATCAACAAGATCACACGCGTCCTCCCCCACCCCCACACACACCTCATGGGATCTCTGCTTCTAAGGATCGTGTGTGATCCTGCTGCAAATATCCCTTGAGGAGGGCGCCTCAGTCACTGTGAACATGCACAGTGTTATCTGTGTGAATGCTCTGGCATGGATAATGTGATATGCTGTGATCTTCCAGTGTCTGGGTTCACAGATAGGCAGTCAGACCAAAACTGAAAGCCCAGCGTGACCCCTCTCACTCCTGGTTTGCTTTGAACTTGCCACTTTCTTCAAAGGTGCCCTGTGAAGTTGTTGTTTTTTTTTCTCCTGACTTTCTGCAATTTCTGACACTAGCTAGGTCAGCAGACATGAGCCCTGTCTTTTGAGAGATCTCAGCTGGATAATACAGACAGGTATAAAAGCTGAAGGTCCAGATAAGAAGTGTGGCTTAGCTTAGAGCACAGGTGTGTGGGATGTTCAGAAGTCATAGAAGTTGCATGTTTGGGGTTGATGAGATCTTAGGGGAGAAGCCAACTGCAGAAGGCACTTGGATGTCACTCAAGCCAGTGGTGATTTGGTAGGGGGTAAACCCCACAGTCCTCCTGGAGAAGGGTTTAGGAATTGGGTACTCACTCGGTCATTGAAGGTGTACTCTATCTTGAGCTTCTATAGTGTGAGCACTCAGTCCTTAACTGCGCTGTTTAGGAAGTTTCAGAAGAGAGAAGGGAGTCCTGTTGTGAGGAAACCTGGCCAGTAGTGCAGTGAGCAAGTGAGCAGGCTGGTGAGGCCTAGGAAGAGCCCCTGAGTGGGGGAAGGGAGGCCAGAGTACCAAGAACTGCTGTGGTCTGGTCTAAAGTGGTGTTGACACGGCCCTGCAGGTCTTAGCTTACAGCAGATCTCTGTGGTCTTTTGTTTTGTTTTTTGTTTTTCAAGACAGCGTTTCCCTGTGGCTTTGGAGGCTGTCCTGGAACTAGCTCTTGTAGACCAGGCTGGTCTCAAACTCACAGAGATCCGCCTGCCTCTGCCTCCCAAGTGCTGGGATTAAAGGCGTGCGCCACCAACGCCCGGCTTGATCTCTGTGGTCTTTAGGCAGGTTGTGGTTAAGGACACCAGGCTTCTTTACCCCTCCTTGTTTTCCTCCATTTTTGTTTCATTTCAGTGTGTGTGTTGACTTTGATGGCACATGACTTTTAAGCATTAGGATTTTTGCCAAGCAGAATTTTTGAAGCCTTGAGGCCTGTGACCCAAGCACAGGTGCAGGCATGCCTGGAAGGCTTCAGGCTGAAACCAGCAGTTCCCTGCTTTCTGGGTCTGTCTGCAGAGTTCACTGCAGTTTCAGACCTTGATGAGTGCTCTAGTCAGGAAGCCGGTCCCCAGACAGTAGTCTGTTTTGGCAGGACTTCAGGAGTTAATCATTCCTTAGGCCTCCCTTGGCCCCTTTACCTGCGTTCTTAGGTGGGAATGAATTAGACACTTGGAAGGCTGTTGGGTCAAGGTTCTGGGCACAGGGCAGGGTGCTCCTGTCTTTACTAAGTGTACTGCTAGTGGAGTTTTCGCCATGTCATTTCTACCTCCAAAGTGAGGCTCCAGAGTTCGTCGTCAGAGCCTGCTCTTCCACATCTGGTCCAAGCAGGAGTACAAGGAAGTCCACTTCTACACCCGTGAGCACAAACACGTCTGTATTCGTCATTTAGTCCAACCCATTACAGGCATTCCTGGAACAGGTGAGAGAGTTTCTGTGGGCCTCTGTTGTAACATTCTCATGAACTATATAGGCTTACACTCATCGCCTAGTAAACAAGAATGGTGCACATTTAGGTGGTTTGTTTTGAGAGGGAGGGGGCTTGAGGGGGGTGGTGATTGTGGGTGTTTAAGCTAGAATTCTTTTGTCCATGATAAAAAAGACTTGAAAACTGAACCGTTGTGGTACAGTGTTAGCTCATGCCTGTATGTGTAACAGGACACTCGACAATTATCTTAAGAACACACAGCAGCATTGAAGTGTAGAAAAGGAGTAGTGAATGCCTTGGGAACACAAATCGGTTAGGAACCAGCCAGGACACAGGGAACAGTAAATGTCTGCATCTGATACGCTTGCTCCTCCCAGGTTGGTGTCCCACAGAGCAGGTCACGTCCAGGCTCCTGGTTTGCCTCCTTCCTATGGGTTTCTCTGCTTCAGGGCCACTTCAGTGACTTAGCTGGAGCATCACTGATGTCTTTTCTTGTACCCACCAGACATCAAGTAGTCGTGACTTGACTCCCAAAGACACAGTTGAGGGATCATATAGGGCTAAGTTAAAGCCAAGTTCCCCGTTCTTCCCCTGTGGTAGGGAAAGAGGCAGGAGACGCCAGAGGAGCCGAGGCTTTTGGGGCTTACTTAATGGGGTCATTCTGAGCATTAGGGAGTTGGTTCAGGAAAGGTTATAGACAGGCTCTGGGCTTTGCTCTCCTCTCTGCAGAGCTCGCTGTGGAGTAGCAAGGAGCAAGACCGGAGCTATCGTTAGCAGGGAAGCTTGCTCTGCCCGGCTGCTGGGGGACCTACTTGCCTCCAGCTTGGTTGAGGTCCGTGTTCTGACTTTCTGCACCCTTGTGCTAGACGATGCGTGTTATTACACAAAAGTGGGCCGCCTGTGGCATCAAGACTGCAACTCGACAATCATGGTTTGCTGATCTCAAACGGGCACTTAAATCTCAGTGTGGGTGTGTGATTTTAGTGACTGAGCCCGTCCTTCTATTTGTCAGTTACGTTTCTACCCTTCAATTAGCTGCACTGTTTTCTAATGTGCTGTAGAGTTTGGAAATAATTTATGCAGTGTTTGGTTCCCATGTTTACAAATTTTTACAGCTTTCCTAGCATTTTAAATGGAAATGTCAATAAATGCTACGAATTGGTGTCGAACTGATACTTTCTGGGTTATTCCTTTGCAACACAGTTGTTTTGTAGTTTGTTAAGGGTGGTTACCTGTGCTGAGGTGACCTTTGAGTGCATGCTGAGAAGAACATCTAGTGTGGTTAAGTCAGCAGCGTCCCACTGAGCGGAGCTGGCAGAAGTGTCTCCACTTGCATGGCTGGTGCCTACTTTACTGCTGCCCGATGGCCCTGCTGGCACACCCTTGAGCAGAGGCAGCCGATGAAAAGGATGCTTTGGCTTAAAATGCAAATGAAAAGAGCGGAGTTCACTCCACCTTGAAAAGAGAATAGGGCAAACTAGGGGTTGTTTTGGAAACCCAAGAAAATGAAGCTCCTTGGCAACTCAAGGAAGCAGAACAATTCACAAAATCAACAAAAAAAAAACATGGAATCTGGGTAATTCTTGGGTCCCCAAACATGGAAACGCTGATGAGATCCAGTCTGTATACAGATTGGGTTTTGTGTTTTGCCAGTTTTGTATAAAAGGTCTCACTAATAGGGGGAGCTCTAGAAAAGATATAGAAACCCTCTCTGTCGATTTACAACTTTATATATAAATATGCAGAAAAATTAATCTGGTCAGGTAGAGCCCACAGGGTATTGTCACGGCTGTTGCAGTCCTACCTTGGGATGCTCATCTCGGACCTGCCACGCTTCTTTGAGGGCATGGCCCCTACTCATGGTGAAGGCAGAGCTACCAGTTTCAAGGCTCAAGCAAATAGCTCATCTAGGGGAATTCAGCCAAGTACAGTGGCTTACACCTGTAATCCTGGCACTGTGGTGACTGAGGCTGGAGGACCGTGAGTTTAAGGCCAATGCAGTCAACATAGTGAGATCCTGTCTCAAAAGTTCAGAGGGTTATCATAGCTGAGCGTAGCATGCTTGGGGCTTTTGGTTCAATTCTTAGTACCACCAAAGTAATAATAATAATAGAAACAGTAATAATAATAACAACCAAAAGGAAATCTTAAAACTCAGATAGATCTAAACATTGAAAACAAAGAAAAAAATCTTACTGCTGGGCCAGGGGATGGCTCAGCACTTCTGTAAAGGTGCTGTGTAAGCCTAAAAACTCAAGATCAGTCCCAGAAGTTGAGGAAGAAAGCTGGAGTCGGGGACCCACATATCTCTGATCCCAGCACTCCTGCATCCAGATACGACAGTCACCCTGAAGCTCTTAGAGCTGAGTGTGTAGCACAGCAGCAACAGTCCTGGCCTCAGCAAGCAGGTTTCCACAGGTGTGGCACGGCCAAGTGTGTGCCTGTATTCGCACATTCCCCCCACCCACCCATAAGATGATTAACTTTAAAAAATTTAAAAACGTGGCCATTGAGTGTCTTAGTGAGGAAGGGCATTTCCCTCCAGGCCTGCCTACCTGGACTCGATCCCCAGAGCTCACGTGATGGGAAGAACTGTATCTTACATGTTGTTCTTGGATCTCCATCCCTGTGAACACGCACGCACCGTGCACAGGCTCTCATGCACACACATACAATAAATTATTAAAAATTTAAAAGTTTTTTTTTTTTTTTTTTTTTTTTTTAAATCTGTGCTGGGTATGGTGGCGCATGCCTTTAATCCCAGCACAAGGAAGGCAGGCAGACCTTCTGTGAGTTGCAGGCCAGCCTGGTCTACAGAGAGTGGTCGAGGACAGCCCAGACTGTTACACAGAGAAACACTGACCCAATCACCCATCCTCCCCAACCCCCGGCATTATGAATTTTTAAGCAAATTTGAAAAAAAATCTTCCAAAGAAAAATAAGAACACACATGAATATTCAGTGATCATATATTCCAATATATCAGACAGTTCTCATTACTAAATATTGGACATGGGTGTAGCTCAAAGGTGGTGTGCTTGCCTGGTATATGCAAGGCCCTAGGTTTGGCCCTTAGCCCCACAATATTACATAGATAGAGAGAGACAGACAGACAGACAGACAGACAGACAGAGACATACAGATATATGTATCTCTCTCTATATATCTATATATCTGTATATCATAGTATGTTGTAATGGATTTTTTTTTAACAACCGAAGTGCTGTGGGAGCTGGTGGAATATATTACTCAGCCGGATTTAACCTGCTTTGAGTGTAAACAGGTCCAAAGTACCAGGAGAGCAGTCACTAGGAACACTAGCAGCTTTGAAGGTCAGGCCGCTCCCACACCCAAAGCAGTGGTCATTTCTTGTTCCTCCCTCTCCTGGTTTGTACCTCTCTGCCCAGCACAGCATAAGGGGAAGGGAAACTGGAGCAGGCCGGCTCCTGGGGAAGATCGTTTACCAAAGCCTTGTTATTTGTCTAGTAACCTGACTCCTCAGTGAGTCTCCGGCACTTTACTCGGCTCCCACGACCGCCCATCCTGGGCTGGCTAGGCTGTGTTTGATGCCTCTGATGTTAAAGCCTGGAAAGATTACAGTGGCAAGTCTGTGTAGCTACTGATGTACCGTTTGTTGTACTCACACCACCTTGTAGCACTGCAAAGGATAAACACGGTAACATCATGTACAGAGGCCTGGTTGGGGAGGCTCCTTCAGCAGGGCCTGGGAGGGTAACTATTTGGATTTAGGTTCTGTGATGTGATTGTGAGTCTCAATAAGCGGTCTCTTTCATTTAATATTTTAAAATTCGGAAGAAAATGTTAATGCAGAGTTTAAGGGGGAAAGAATTATAGCTGAATTGGGTTGCTGTGTTTCAATGAAAATCAGTTTTTTCAATATTAGTTCTGTGCTGTGGTCTTAAGCTAGATATGCTAATTCTAGCAGAATCCAAAGGCAGGCAAGATTTAGAACTCCTGAAGCCGTAGGAGAAAGAGAATGCTCACTGCCTCGGTCTGAACTCTAAGAACCACTAACCCAGTAAAATGGCTCAGTGGGTAAAGGGGCTTGCTGCCAGGCCTGAGAACCTGAGCTCCATGCCCACTACCCACAAACAAAAATAAGTGAAGTCTGGGAACCAGTGTATTTATGTCACAGATATTCTTCTTAGTGAGACAAATTTGATTTACAAATTACCAGCAATGTTAAACGTTTCCAAGACACACCAAATTTAAATGAGAGTCAACATACAAAACCAATGATCTTAATTGTTTTTTGTTTTGTTTTTTTGTTTGTTTTTTGTCCTGGAACTTGCTCTGTAGACCAGGCTGGCCTCAAACTCAGAGATTCATCTGTCTGTCTCCTGAGCACTAGGATTAAAGGCATGTGCCACCATTGCCTGGCAATCTGTAACTGTTTTACCTTTTCTGGCCCAAAGTCTATATTAGCATTAATGAAAGAAATAAAAGCTAATATAACTACACTAAAGATGCTAGCATCAAAATTCTAGTAAATTTTAGTCTTTCAAAAAAGTTAAGGGGCTAGAGAGATGGCTCAGCAGTTAAGAGCACTGACTGCTCTTCCAGAGGACCTGAGTTCAATTCCCAGCAACCACATGGTGGCTCACAACCATCTGTTATGAGATCTGGTGCCCTCTTCTGGTGTGCAGATATACATGGAAGCAGAATGTTGTATACGTAATAAATAAATAAAATCTTAAAAAAAAGTTAAGTGGAAGCTGGGTGATGGTGACACAAGCCTTTAATTCCAACACTCAGGAGGCAGAGGCAGGGGGATCTCTGTGAGTTCAAGGCCAGCTTGGTCTACAAGAGTGAGTTCTAGGACAGCCAGAGCTACACACAGAGAAACTGTCTTGAAAACAACAACAACAAAAAGTTAGGTGGAGACTGGAAGGTCGTCTCAGTGGTTAGGAACACTGAGTGCTCTAGCAGAGGACTTAGATTCAGTTCCTGGTACCCCTTTGGTGGCTCACAACTGTCCATAAATCCAGTTTCAAGGGATCTAATGCCCTGTTTGACCTCTGTGGGAAGTGGGAAGCAGGCACACACACCGTACACATATACAGACAACACTCATGCACATAAAAACACATGAATTTTTTTGTGTGGTAACAGCTAGGGAGTACTCAGTGGGCAAAGTGCTTGCTGTGTGAGCATGGGGACCTGAGGCCGGGATGACTCACAGCCGTGTAAAAATGCAGGTGTGCCGTATGGACCTGTGAGCCTAGCACTGGAAGGCAGAAACAAGAGGGTCCCAGGGACCAGTGAGGGAGCTCCAGTTTCAATGACTATCTCAAAGAATAAGGAACAGTCGAGAAAATCAACCTTTGCCGCGTGCACGTACACAAGCGCACACGCCCACACACGTGCCTGTGCACACATACACGTAAGCAAATGCTAACCATGTTGATATTGAAAATGTTCTGAGATTGGGGGACTATTCAGGACATTTACTTTCAAATTGACTTTGTACTAATCTGTCCCTATCAACAAAATGAATAAAGACTCAGAGCAAATGAGGAAGAACCCAATGACACCTCTGGTCTTCATATGTACAGCCACACTAACAACTACAAAGGTGTGGCCCTCATGGTGTTTTGTTTACAGCCCCTCTAGCTGAAGCAAGGGCTTCGTCTTGCACTCTACTGCAATCCACACTCCCAGGAAAATTATCTGTCATATATATATGACAGGGATGCAATAAACATTCGGTGAATGCATTCATTGAAGTACCAGTAGTGAGTACACAATCTAGTGAGTTTTTGGTGTTTCTTCATTGTACACAGTGATGGGTGCACCATGCCTGAGCTTGGAACCTTGTCACCTCAGGCCTCCTTTAGTGTAGCAGAGGGTGATTCTTAAAGGAATCCTGGGGACTCGGAGAGGAAGTGGTCCAGAAGGTGGTTTAACATTAGCTGATTGATATTTGGGTTTCTTCTCCTAATATGTAACATTATCTATAATAGCAAAGTACTAGAGGCAACTATTATTTTTCTAGAGTAACTCCCTGGATTTTGTTTGCTTTTTTTTTTTTTTTTATGCCTTTGACATTTTTTTTTTCTTTTTCTTTCTTTTTTTTCCCCCCTCAAGACAGGGTTTCTCTGTGGCTTTGGAGGCTGTCATGGAACTAGCTCTTGTAGAACTCACAGAGATCCACCTGCCTTTGCCTCCCGAGTACTGGGATTAAAGGCCTGTGCCACCACTGCCAGGCACATACTGTTTTTATACCCCCAATCCTTTTATCTTTCCACTTTTGTCATCTCTGTGTGAGTTACTTAATTTTCTTTTTCATTTATGTGTTTGGGTAATTTGCCTGTATGGGTACCACATGAGTGCAGTGCCCAGGGATGTCAGAATAAGGTGTCAGATGCCCTGGAGCTGGAGTTTCAGATGGTTGTGGTCACCATGGGGCTGGCTGCCAGGATTTAAACCAGGGTCCTCTCGGGCGCAGCCAGCGCTCCAGTCACTCCAGTTACTTCTGCTGCTGTGACCAAACACCCTACAGGCAACTAAAAGGGGGAAGTTGCTTTGGTTTACACTTTTAGCTAAAACCATCATGGGAGGAGGAATTCATGCAAGCAGAGGAGTGGGCAGCTGGTCACATTCTGTCCACAGCAGAGAAGCGGGGAGGGGAGAGAGAGAGCTTCATTTCCCAGCACCCACAGGGTAATTCAGAACCATCTGCAACTCCATCTTCTGACCTCTGCAGACACCAGGCATGTGCACGGTGCATAGACATGCAGGCAGGCAAAACACTCAAACATAGAATGCATGTATCTAATGAAATCCAAATTGACCTGGTCAGCTCACCTTGGGTTTCATGGAGTCCGGTAGATGCAGGTCTGTTTACGTGACATTAAATGTCTGTGAAGCACCTCTGGGTGAAAAGAATAGCCCACATTACCACCCTTTTGTCGTTGCTAAGTTCGGATTTTCTTCTCTGCAGTTGCATCCTACTACATCCACTGTGTTCACCTCCCAGTCCCCGCCCCTGGGTTCTTTCTGGGGAATTTCTCCAGAAAGTTGGGGAGTGAGAGCTGTGCTTATCCTGTTGATCCTGAACCTTCTAGTGGCTTCTATCCAGAGACAGGTTGGAAAGCTGCCTCTCTGAATGCATTGGAGCTGCTGGGGGGCTCTGCTTGTCTCCCTGGAGACTCAGTGCTTATGGTGATACAGCCAGTCTGGGAACTTGGCTTCAAGATGTTTAAAAGAATTTAAAAACATTCAAAGTCTCTTCATAACTGACCTATGTATTCTGGTGTCTTAGAAAGTCAGAGTGGTCTGAAATACACTCAACAGGGGTCTCGGGTCACTGCTTTGGTGGGTACCTGCATGTTGTTGAGCTTAGGAACTCGAGTCTACTGTCTCTTTTCACACTTCAAACTGAATGGCAGCTTCTGCCCTGTGGGTCAGTCCTGATGGTCTCATTTCAGGAAAGTCTGCCCCAGAGTTGTCCTTTCAATCACATCTCCCCAGCCCTACCGTGACATTAACATAAGGGAACGTGGAATGCTCCTGTGCCTGGCACTGAATGCGTGG